TGGGACAGTTGTGTGGCTTCCCGAAAGCGTAGCGATGAGATCCATAAATTCAGGATAATGCTGCTCTTTCGGCGAATAGATCCTTTGCTGAGGAATGTTGTACTCGTAGAAGTAGCTCTAAAAGAGAAATCACAGGCACATGAGACTCCACACAGTCAAGATGCACCATTTGGGATTAGATTCATTTATTGGATCGAATTTAAATGGACTCGCTCAGAGTCATATTTAGATGCAATTGCTAAAGGTCGAATTTAGATGGACTCCGAAAGTCCATTTAAATTCGTCCCTCGAATGTAGATCGACTCGGGAAGTCCATATAAATTCGTTCTTTTGTGAAAATGCTTGATCACGAACGAGGACAGCGAGGGCTTCCCGGACTTGCAGTGCATGATCCGGGAGACGGGCAAAGTGGAGAGCATGCAATTCAACAGGATTCTCTGCGACGTGCCGTGCAGTGGCGACGCCACGCTGCGCAAGAATCCGGACATCTGGACAAAGTGGAATCCCGCGCACGACACGAATCTCAATGGTGTGCAGTTCAGGATAGCCAAGAGAGGCGCTGAGCTGCTGACGATCGGCGGGCGTCTGGTGTACTCCCCGTGCTCCTTCAATCCCGTGGAGAACGAGGCGGTGATTTTGCGTCTGTTGAAGGAGTCCGAGGGCGCGCTGGACTTGATTGACGCCTCCAGTCTCGTGCCGGGACTGAAGTTCTCGCTTGGGATGCAGAAGTGGGAGCTGGCGGCGAAGGACATGAGTTTCTACGCGGATTTCCAGGCAGTTCCCGAGCAGTATCACATAATCTTGCGCCCGCAGATGTTCCCGCCGGAGGATTCTTTGTGGCGGTGCTGGTGAAGACCAGAGCCATGCCGTGGGCGCTGGAGGAGGAGAAGAGAGGCTCTCCGGCGGCGCCGCAGCGCAAGAAGCGCCGCCTGGGCGGCTACAAAGAGGAGCCCTTTGTCTTCTTCCACGGCGACGAGGACATCTTCTCCTCCATCAAGTCCTTCTACACGCTGCGCGAGGACTTCCAGCCCACGTGTCTGCTATGCCACGCGCTATCACACGGGCAAGAAGAAGAATATCTACTTCAGCTCCGAGTCCATTCGTGACATTGTGTAGCTGAGTGGCGATCGCGTGAAGATCATCAACACGGGCGTGAAGGTGTTCGTGCGCTGCGACAACAAGAACATGTCGTGCGCCTTCAGGCTCGCCCAGGAGGGTCTGCCCAGTGTGAATGAGTTCGTGGGCAGCGACCGGAGGGTGCGGCTGGAGAGGAGTGATCTCGTGACGCTACTGCACAACACGGACCCCACGAAGCCGCCCAAGGTGGAGGAATTGACGGCGGCGAGCCAGGAGAGAATCGCCGGCGTGACGCCGGGCAGTTGCGTGCTGGAGTATCGCGAGCCGAAGCTACAGATCACTTCGACGTGTCCGTGAGGCAATTCACGGCGGCCGACGCCTTCCCGGCCTGTGAAAAGAGAGACTCGTGATTCACTTCCTGCGCACTGCGTCTCTGCGGACGAACACTCACCGTGAGTTGCGCACGCCCGGCTTTGTGTCTGATTTTGCCCTCGTGCGACTTCCTGCAGCCTGTCAGCTTGTGCTGCAGCACCTCCTCAATCGCCCCCTGCGCCGGCAATCCGCTCCGCCGCCTTGTCGTGGCGCCGGTAGAAGTTTGGCAGTTTGTCGGCTTCCCGGAAAGTCGTATGCGATGAGATCCATAATTTCAGGATAATGCTGCTCTTCTCGGCGAATAGATCCTTTGCTGAGGAATGTTGTACTCGTAGAAGTAGCTCTAAAAGAGAAATCACAGGCACATGAGACTCCACACAGTCAAGATGCCCCATTTGGGATTAGATTCATTTATTGGATCGAATTTAAATGGACTCGCTCAGAGTCATATTTAGATGCAATTGCTAAAGGTCGAATTTAGATGGACTCCGAAAGTCCATTTAAATTCGTCCCTCGAATGTAGATCGACTCGGGAAGTCCATCTAAATTCGTCCTTTTGTGAAATATGCTGATCACGAACGAGGAGGCAAAGCGAGAGGGCTTCCCGGACTGTGCAGTGCTGATCGGAGACGGGCAAAGTGGCAGAGAGCAGCAATTCAACAGGATTCTCTGCGACGGTGGCCGGCTGGTGCAGTGGCGACGCCACGCATGCGCAAGAAATCGAGCATCTGCGACAAAGATGAATTCCCGGCGCCACGACACGAATACTCAATGGTGATTTGTGCCAGTCAGGATAGCCTAAGAGAGGCGACTGAGCTGCTGAGATCAGGCGCGGCGTCTGGTTAATCCACGTGCTCCTTCAAATCTCCGTGGAGAACGAGGTCGGTGATCTTTTTGGGCTGTTGTGAAGGAGTCCGAGGGCGCGCTGGACTTGATTGACGCCTCCAGTCTCGTGCCGGGACTGAAGTTCTCGCTTGGGATGCAGAAGAGGGAGCTGGCGGCGAAGGACATGAGTTTCTACGCGGATTTCCAGGCAGTTCCCGAGCAGTATCACATAATCTTGCGCCCGCAGATGTTCCAGCGCCGGAGGATCTCTTTGGGCGGTGATGGTGGAAGACAGAGCCATGCCGGTGGGCGCTGGAGGAGGAGATAGAGAGTCTCTACGGCGCCGGCGGCGGCCCGCAGCGCGCAAGGAAGGCGGCCGCTCCTGGGCGGCTACAACGAGAGGAGGCACCTGTTGTCTGTTTCTACCCCCCCCCTCCCCCCACGGCACGACGAGGGGGACATCTTTCTCCCCAATCAAGTCCTTCTACACACGCCTGCGCGAGGACTTCCAGGCGCACGGGTCTGCGATGCCAGCGCTATCACACGGGCAAGAAGACAGAATATCTACTTCAGCTCCGAGTCCATTCTGAACTACATCGTTAGGCTGAGCGGCGGAGTTCGCGTGAAGATCATCAACACGGGCGTGAAGGTGTTCGTGCGCTGCGACAACAAGAACATGTCGTGCGCCTTCAGGCTCGCCCAGGAGGGTCTGCCCAGTGTGAATGAGTTCGTGGGCAGCGACCGGAGGGTGTGGCTGGAGAGGAGTGATCTCGTGACGCTACTGCACAACACGGACCCCACGAAGCCGCCCAAGGTGGAGGAATTGACGGCGGCGAGCCAGGAGAGAATCGCCGGCGTGACGCCGGGCAGTTGCGTGCTGGAGTATCGCGAGCCGAAGCTACAGATCACTTCGACGTGTCCGTGAGGCAATTCACGGCGGCCGACGCCTTCCCGGCCTGTGAAAAGAGAGACTCGTGATTCACTTCCTGCGCACTGCGTCTCTGCGGACGAACACTCACCGTGAGTTGCTGCACGCCCGGCTTTGTGTCTGATTTTGCCCTCGTGCGGACTTCCTGCAGCCTGTTGCAGCTTGTGTGCCAGCACCTCCTTCAATCGGCCCCCTGCGCCGGCGCAACCGCTCCGCCGCCTTGTCTTGGCGCCGGTAGAAGTTTGGCAGGTTGTCGGCTTCCCGGAAAGTCGATGACGATGAGATCCATAATTTCAGGATAATGCTGCTCTTCTCGGCGAATAGATCCTTTGCTGAGGAATGTTGTACTCGTAGAAGTAGCTCTAACAGAGAAATCACAGGCACATGAGACTCCACACAGTCAAGATGCCCCATTTGGGATTAGATTGATTTATTGGATCGAATTTAAATGGACTCGCTCAGAGTCATATTTAGATGCAATTGCTCAAGGTCGAATTTAGATGGACTCCGAAAGTCCATCTAAATTCGTCCCTCGAATGTAGATCGACTCGGGAAGTCCATATAAATTCGTTCTTTTGTGAAAATGCTTGATCACGAACGAGGACAGCGAGGGCTTCCCGGACTTGCAGTGCATGATCCGGGAGACGGGCAAAGTGGAGAGCATGCAATTCAACAGGATTCTCTGCAACGTGCCGTGCAGTGGCGACGCCATCCCGCCTGCCAAGAATTCCGGACATACTGGAGCAAAGTGGAATCCGCGCACCCGACAAGAGATCCTCAATGGTGTGCAGTTCAGTATAGCCAAGAGAGGCGCTATGAGCCGCTGACGATACGGCGGGCGTCTGGGTGTACTCACGGGCTCCTTCAAATCCCGTGGAGAACGAGGGGGTGATTTTGCGTCTGTTGAAGGCTTGTCCGAGGGCGCGCGACTTGATTGACGCTCCAGTCTCGTGCCGGGGACTGAGTTCTCGCTTGGGATGCAGTAGTGGGAGCTGGCGGCCGGAAGGACATGAGTAGTTTACTACGCGGATTTCCAGCAGTTTCCGAAGCAGTATCACATAATGTCTTTGCGCCCGCAGATGGTCCCGCCGGAGGATTCTTTTGTGGGTGATGGGTGAGCAAGACCAGAGCCATGCCGTGGGCGCTGGAGGAGGAGAAGAGAGGCTCTCCGGCGGCGCCGCAGCGCAAGAAGCGCCGCCTGGGCGGCTACAACGAGGAGCCCTTTGTCTTCTTCCACGGCGACGAGGACATCTTCTCCTCCATCAAGTCCTTCTACACGCTGCGCGAGGACTTCCAGCCCACGTGTCTGCTATGCCACGCGCTATCACACGGGCAAGAAGAAGAATATCTACTTCAGCTCCGAGACCATTCGTGACATCGTGTAGCTGAGCGGCGATCGCGTGAAGATCATCAACACGGGCGTGAAGGTGTTCGTGCGCTGCGACAACAAGAACCTGTCGTGCGCCTTCAGGCTCGCCCAGGAGGGTCTGCCCAGTGTGAATGAGTTCGTGGGCAGCGACCGGAGGGTGCGGCTGGAGAGGAGTGATCTCGTTGACCACGCTACGCACAAAACGGACCCACGCGACAGCCGCCCAAGGGTGGGAGGAATGACGGCGGCGAGCAGGAGAGAATCGCCGGCGTGGACGCCGGGGAGTTGCGTGCTGTGAGTATCGCAGAGGCCGAAGCTAAGATCACTTCGCGTGTCCGTGAGGGCCAATTCACGGCGGCCGGACGCCTTCCCGGCCTGTGAAAAGAGAGACTCGTGATTCACTTCCTGCGCACTGCGTCTCTGCGGACGAACACTCACCGTGAGTTGCTGCACGCCCGGCTTTGTGTCTGATTTTGCCCTCGTGCGACTTCCTGCAGCCTGTCAGCTTGTGCTGCAGCACCTCCTCAATCGCCCCCTGCGCCGGCAATCCGCTCCGCCGCCTTGTCGTGGCGCCGGTAGAAGTTTGGCAGTTTGTCGGCTTCCCGGAAAGTCGTATGCGATGAGATCCATAATTTCAGGATAATGCTGCTCTTCTCGGCGAATAGATCCTTTGCTGAGGAATGTTGTACTCGTAGAAGTAGCTCTAAAAGAGAAATCACAGGCACATGAGACTCCACACAGTCAAGATGCCCCATTTGGGATTAGATTCATTTATTGGATCGAATTTAAATGGACTCGCTCAGAGTCATATTTAGATGCATTGCTCAAGGTCGAATTTAGATGGACTCCGAAAGTCCATTTAAATTCGTCCCTCGAATGTAGATCGACTCGGGAAGTCCATATAAATTCGTTCTTTTGTGAAAATGCTTGATCACGAACGAGGACAGCGAGGGCTTCCCGGACTTGCAGTGCATGATCCGGGAGACGGGCAAAGTGGAGAGCATGCAATTCAACAGGATTCTCTGCGACGTGCCGTGCAGTGGCGACGCCACGCTGCGAAAGAATCCGGACATCTGGACAAAGTGGAATCCCGCGCACGACACGAATCTCCATGGTGTGCAGTTCAGGATAGCCAAGAGAGGCGCTGAGCTGCTGACGATCGGCGGGCGTCTGGTGTACTCCACGTGCTCCTTCAATCCCGTGGAGAACGAGGCGGTGATTGTGCGTCTGTTGAAGGAGTCCGAGGGCGCGCTGGACTTGATTGACGCCTCCAGTCTCGTGCCGGGACTGAAGTTCTCGCTTGGGATGCAGAAGTGGGAGCTGGCGGCGAAGGACATGAGTTTCTACGCGGATTTCCAGGCAGTTCCCGAGCAGTATCACATAATCTTGCGCCCGCAGATGTTCCCGCCGGAGGATTCTTTGTGGCGGTGCTGGTGAAGACCAGAGCCATGCCGTGGGCGCTGGAGGAGGAGAAGAGAGGCTCTCCGGCGGCGCCGCAGCGCAAGAAGCGCCGCCTGGGCGGCTACAAAGAGGAGCCCTTTGTCTTCTTCCACGGCGACGAGGACATCTTCTCCTCCATCAAGTCCTTCTACACGCTGCGCGAGGACTTCCAGCCCACGTGTCTGCTATGCCACGCGCTATCACACGGGCAAGAAGAAGAATATCTACTTCAGCTCCGAGTCCATTCGTGACATCGTGTAGCTGAGCGGCGATCGCGTGAAGATCATCAACACGGGCGTGAAGGTGTTCGTGCGCTGCGACAACAAGAACATGTCGTGCGCCTTCAGGCTCGCCCAGGAGGGTCTGCCCAGTGTGAATGAGTTCGTGGGCAGCGACCGGAGGGTGCGGCTGGAGAGGAGTGATCTCGTGACGCTACTGCACAACACGGACCCCACGAAGCCGCCCAAGGTGGAGGAATTGACGGCGGCGAGCCAGGAGAGAATCGCCGGCGTGACGCCGGGCAGTTGCGTGCTGGAGTATCGCGAGCCGAATCTACAGATCACTTCGACGTGTCCGTGAGGCAATTCACGGCGGCCGACGCCTTCCCGGCCTGTGAAAAGAGAGACTTCTGATTCACTTCCTGGCGCACTCGTAACTACTGCGGAAACGAAACACTAACCAAGTGAGTTAAGACTTGCACGCCCGGGCAGAAAAGTATGATGAATGTTGCCCCTCGTGCGACTATCCTGACAAGACTGTCAGAACTTGTGCTGCAAAAGCAACCTCCATCAATCGCCCACTGCGACGGCCAAAGCCAAGCTCCGCCGCCTTGTCGTGGCGCGGTAGAAGTTGGCAAGTTTGGATCGCTTCCCGGAAAAAGATCAAGTATGCCCCCCACGATAGAGAGATCCATAAATTTTTCAGGATAATGCTGCTCTTCTCGGCGAATAGATCCTTTGCTGAGGAATGTTGTACTCGTAGAAGTAGCTCTAAAAGAGAAATCACAGGCACATGAGACTCCACACAGTCAAGATGCCCCATTTGGGATTAGATTCATTTATTGACGGAGAATTCTCGGAAAATCGGTACACTATTGATTTTTCCATCAATCCCACAATCGCAAAACCTTCTCACCTCATTGTACTCCTTGTTAGTGCACATTTTGGAGTGATATTTGAGGTATTTGGCGCTATTTTTTGCAAGGAAATGCGAACAAAATAACACTGAAAGTCCAATGCTTGTGACGTTTGCAGGACGACAATGTCGATAAGTCGGTAATGTAGGAATTGTCACTCGCACTACGGACGCGTTACAAACCGATTGCTTACACACTACTTACAAATCTCTTTCTTTGGCCTACTCGTAAGCGTATAAACTAATTCGACAAAATTAATTTAGAGTTAAGAGTTAATTTTAACAGTCTTGTAATCAGTAGCGTTTTACAGTACACACAAGGAAATATTCAATAAATTTATGCGGGTCTACCTTGTGCTTTGTGTCGCTCTTAGGCCAATACCTAAAAAAAATCGCGGGCCACCTTCGGCGACCCGGTGAAGTCCTCCTCGCCTTGCTTTGCTCTGAGACCAGGACCCAAAAAAATCGCGGGCCGCCTTCGGCGGCCCGGTGAAGTCCTCCTCGCTTTGCCTTGCTCTGACACGAAGACCTAAAAAAAATCGCGGGCCGCCTTCGGCGGCCCGGTGGAGTCCTCCTCGCCTTGCCTTGCTCTGAGACCAACACCCAAAAAATCGCGGGCCGCCTTCGGCGGCCCGGTGAAGTCCTCCTCGCCTTGCGTTGCTCTGAGATCAAGACCCAAAAAAATCGCGGGCCGCCTTCGGCGGCCCGGTGAAGTCCTCCTCGCCTTGCGTTACTCTGAGACCAAAACCTAAAAAAATCGCGGGCCGCCTTCGGCGGCCCGGTGAAGTCCTCCTCGCTCTGCGTTGCTCTGAGCCCAAGACCTGAAAAAATCGCGGGCCGCCTTCGGCGGCCCGGTGGAGTCCTCCTCGCCTTGCCTCTGCTCTGAGGGACAAACACCCAAAAAAAATCGCGGGCCGCCTTCGGCGGCCCGGTGAAGTCCTCCTCGCTCTGCGTTACTCTGAGACCAAAATCTAAAAAAATCGCCCCCCGCCTTCGGCGGCCCGGTGGATTCCTCCTCGCCTTGCCTTGCTCTGAGATCAAGACCCAAAAAAATCGCGGGCCGCCTTCGGCGGCCCGGTGAAGTTCTCCTCGCCTTGCGTTACTCTGAGACCAAAACCTAAAAAAATCGCGGGCCGCCTTCGGCGGCCCGGTGAAGTCCTCCTCGCTCTGCGTTGCTCTGAGCCCAAGACCTGAAAAAATCGCGGGCCGCCTTCGGCGGCCCGGTGGAGTCCTCCTCGCCTTGCCTTGCTCTGAGACCAACACCCAAAAAATCGCGGGCCGCCTTCGGCGGCCCGGTGAAGTCCTCCTCGCCTTGCGTTACTCTGAGACCAAAACCTAAAAAAATCGCGGGCCGCCGAAGGCGGCCCGGTGAAGTCCTCCTCGCTCTGCGTTGCTCTGAGATCAAGACCCAAAAAAAATCGCGGGCCGCCTTCGGCGGCCCGGTGAAGTCCTCCTCGCTCTGCGTTACTCTGAGACCAAAATCTAAAAAAATCGCCCCCCGCCTTCGGCGGCCCGGTGGATTCCTCCTCGCCTTGCCTTGCTCTGAGATCAAGACCCAAAAAAATCGCGGGCCGCCTTCGGCGGCCCGGTGAAGTTCTCCTCGCCTTGCGTTACTCTGAGACCAAAACCTAAAAAAATCGCGGGCCGCCTTCGGCGGCCCGGTGAAGTCCTCCTCGCTCTGCGTTGCTCTGAGCCCAAGACCTAAAAAAATCAAGGGCCGCCAAAGGCGGCCCGTTTCCTCTGTGCCTTGTGTCGCTCTCAGACCAATACCTCAAAAAAATCGGGAAGTACTTTTCCCCGTGTCGCTGTGAGACATGGCACTTGCCTCATACTACTACCGACAATCATTCCAAATAGACATTTTTTTATTTTAGGAAAAGATTACAGAGAGAAATATTATAAGAAAATTATCAATAAATACTCCTTACACTTCTTACGACTATATGGACTTGCATGGGACGTGAAGAAATCAACAGATCAGATATTGATACGTACTTTTAACATGATTTTCACAATTTTCACAATCTTACCGCATAACAGAAATTCAACTATGGAAAAAAGGAGGATGAATTTCAATTTGATCATCTCTACAAAATTTATTTTGTACTCGTGGACTTGTGGAAAAAATACAGTACAAAAATCTGCCCAGAAAGACGTGGTTTAAGCCTGAGAAATGCCGAGAAATCTTCACAACAAAAACAGATTAAATCCTACTCGACAGAAGCATTTGAGTCCACATTGCGTGCCCACTCGAGGATCCCCCTTAGTGGGTCTTGCTGTAGGTGTCCTTGTGCTGGTAGCCCGTCACGTAGCCGGACGCGTCTGACGTGTCCTTCCGCCCGGCGATGCCCTTCCCCTTACCGCTCTCGTCGAAGCGCTCGCGATGAGAACCCGTGTACTTCGACGTGTCAGTGAGGCGATTCACGGTGGCAGACGCCTTCCCGGCCTGTGAAAAGAGAGACTCGTGAGTCACCTCCTGTGCACTGCGTCCCTGCGGACGCTCACCGTAAGTTGCTGCACGCCCGGCTGGCCGCAATTGCTCATCTTGCTCTTGATCTCCTCAAGATTAGCGCCCTTCGTTTTGGCCAGGTCCTCGAGGAACTTGTTGTAGTCCTCGAAGCTCACTTTCAGGCTCTTTAGCTTCTTGAAGTGAATGGCAGTGTCCGTGGTGGTGATCTTCTTGTCTATCACTTTTGCCTGCTTCATCCACTTGTCGCTCTGCGACAGTGTCACATGCTTCCCGTCACTCTTTGTGTCGCCGAACTTTGAGAAGGCCTTGAAAGCCTCCCGGAAGCTCGCCTTGCCGGTGCTTCCGTTCTTCACATTCTCCTCCAGCGCCATCGCGGCCATCTCCACCGTTGGCACCGGTGAGGCTTCCTTCGCGTTCTCTTCCTTGGACATGGTCACGCCTCTGGAAGCAGAGGAATGATTTTGTATCAATTCACAGGACAATCAATTTTGTCTCCGATCAGATCAGATTAGAATGGGCGACGTTACTCTTGCGATCACGCTAACATTTTCCCAAAAACAAAACAGACACAACATGATTCCCTAACGGTTTTAGTCAAAATGATTTGATCTGTAAAATCCTCAAAGCTCTGAAAGATTTTTATAAGAGAGTTATCCCACTACGTTTCCTTGTGATTAACTGAGCATATTGATTTTACAAGTCATATTTGCATTTAATTGTGTGGTTCGGAAGAACTTATTAAGACTTCAGTGCGTACAGTGGGATAAACGCTTAAGACTATCAAAGTCTCTTTTGGCTAAGTAATGTCCTAAAATATTTATATTAATAGAACAGTCCTGTAAAGTGTTTTCTATCGGTTTTATATAGAAATTTGGAACTTTTCTAAAAAAAAATCACTCAAAAGAAAATTTTTGCACTGTTTTTCCTCACAAAACCACTCTTGATGATGGTGAATCCGAATTACAGAACTTGCTGAACTTGCCTATAAATCGCAACGTGAGTGAACATATTTGGACGAAGCTGAGAAGATACTGAGAAAATGCGTGTGATTTCACACAAAGAGCCACCAAAGATCAACAGTGGAGGCAAATATATCGCCACAGATCAATTATCACGGCACTCTCACATGCATTATATCGAGCCCATGAAGCATCACAGGGAATTTTGGACAGTTTTGAGGTCAAGATCACAGGAAAACTGGCACAGCTTGGCGGCTTTTTCCGAGATTCTCCAGATGTTGTGCATGCGGAGCGTCTATTTTGCCCCCAGTCACGGCAAAAACTGCGCCAAGACGGGCTTGGCGATTAGATAGAGAGTGAATTTTGAGAGCTTCATGCCTGACCTTGACTATGGTCGCGATTCGATGTACAAAACTCCGGGTGTTTCGTCGGCAATCGCGAGAAATTAGCTAGAGAAAAATTTACATGAGTAACTCGGAAATCAGTGATGTCATAGTTTTTTCTCTGCGTCTCTGTATTCGTGGAAATGCCAAGCAAGTTCTGGGTCTTTATCAATTATTGAGTAAAATTATTTATTACATTGCGATTGTGTTTCTTTGGGCGGCAATTAGGAATTTTTGTGACTCTCTAATCTCTGCTAATCTTAATGATCGCTTGAGGAGTTGATTATAAATGTCTTGATAAAGATTTAGAAAATCTCACAAGAAGGATTTCAAGCGTATCAATTTAGAACATCGCAGGAGCATTTGTTTCATGTCAACACAACACTTTGGTGCTACTTATTCCATTCCACCTCCAAATCAATATTCAATTACCCTTAACTTCCTCTATCTTGTTCCTCAATAAAAACCTTCGTCACGTTCATTGAGAACTATTGTTGGCTCTGTATCAAAAATAGGACTTCAATGTTTGTTTTTCCGTTTGTCAGTTCTGAATTTTACACGACAGACAAACACTTGTTGATGCGCTTGAGAATCATGCATTTTCCGTTTTTCACTCCCTTTTCAATCATAATTCTTCACCGCATTTCTCCATTTATCCAATTACACAGGAACAAAATTATTCAAATCATTTGTCTCTTTAATCGCGTGTGAACAGGAAAAAAATCGTGTGAAGAATACAAAATTACTCTTTTCCATGTGATTCTCTGTCATTTTGACACACATTTTCTCATGTTCTATAAATAGCCATTTACTCCCTCTTCAGCTGAGGAATAAATGCGAAAACTACTTCTTCACATGATTTTTCACTGATGAAAAATACTGCTGGCAATTCAATTAAGTCACGGGGAAATGTGTATTGATTGCCATGCAAGAAATATAGGACAATTTCCACCCTCGTTGCGTGCAAGAAACGTCTGCAACTTTGTTTTGTTGTTCCTTCTAGTGCAGGATTGAGGTCAATTCTCGGTGTATTTCTTATCAGCTTATCAGTGTCTTTTCCGTTGGATAGACGGACTAATGCGCGTGAGTCTCTGTTGACCTTTCCGCCAGAGCAATTGAATTTCTGGGCGTGGACAATGGATCGCGCTCGCTTTCCCTCTGTCATGTCCGTCAATTTGCAGCGAACCCTTCGTCCTTTACCGCTCAATATTTGAGAGAAAGGCGGAAAATCGACCGGAAAAGTGGAAGTATGTTAACCAGCGAATCAATAAATTGAGGTGGGATAGGTTGAAAGGGGCAGATAAGTGGCCAGAAATTGAACACTGAACTGATTGATTCTTCAAACTTATTGAACACTAGAAAGCACTTTGTGGTCATCGTGGCCAAATTTGAAGCTCAAGCCTCGCTGTGTTTCAGACACGGCTCATTGAAATAAGTTTACATTTGGCGAAAAAGGCAATAAAAAAGCTTAAATAGTTTATTTTTAATTCGCAATCAACCAAAAATTACCCTCCATAGTGCTTTTCAACTGGCCAGAGTGACAGAAACCTACAGATGCCAGAGACATATGTCTGTTGAAAGAATATCAATAGCAATATGAAGAAAGTCATATTTACCAATGTGCCCCAGGAAAACCTAATTTAAGGGGCAAAATGCGCTCTATGGATGTGGAAATAGCGGCTAAAAACTCAATTAAGACGAGAAAACTCATGTGAATTCGCAAAAAATCACTCGTCTATCGAAAGTTTATCGATAAAACCGGTATGAAGTGGCAAACTGACCAGCTTGTTCGAAGGAAATATTGCTCTAGAGCTTTTCAGTGTTGAAGATTGAAAATTTTTCTAATTTTTTACATCCATTTCAGCGAAATACAATTGCAATATTTCTCTTGGCACTCAAATTCTGTCACTTATCCGCCCTTCGGGAGTGTTCTTCACTCACAATTAGCGAATAAACAGTGATTTGAGTATCTTCTGACGGCGTCAATGATGCCAATGAAATATTTAGAGAACATTAGCGCATGCAGAGTTTATCTCACGTTCACAATTATATAATTCTCTCCACTCCGAAGGGGGGCGAAAAATCATCTAAATTGCGATTCATCAACAAACACTGCATTGTCCATTGTGTGCGGGAAGAAGGAAGACGAGGAAATGTGTGTCACCACTTCTGCGTAAATAATGGATTTTCCAGGAAAGTCACCGTGCTGGAAATTGGCAAATGAGGTCACGAATCAATTGGACGCTTAGGGTCAATTTATCAACTTTTCACGCACTTAAAATCATTATTTTTAGCCATGATGTCAGTAATAATTTTCACACGCATCTCGCTCGGTGGACTTTTGCGTGGATTCTCAGGGAAAGTGCATGGAGTCTTCATTTCATCTTTGGCGAGAGGGAAAGCGCATGAATTTATCGATCCATTGAGTCTCTGTATCTTCTCAATGGGATTTCATGGGAGTCCCTGGAGAAATTCCTGCCCAAAATACAACACTATTTGTGCGCTTCGAATTCTCCAGGTAATTTTCAAAATCACCACATAAACACACACCTCAGAAAATCCCGTCAGCAGACTCGACAAGATGCTTTTCTTTAAACACCAAAAAAACACCACTAATGCCAGAGAGAGAATTGGCGGAGACGCAAAAGAGCCAATCCGGAGGATGTTGATGATTAGACTGAGGCGCCGTTGGGAGATTTCTCTCTGTTTTGCCCACCAAAAGTTCGCTCGGAAAGCTCTCGCAATCTCTCGTCGCGCTCTCGGTTTTTCAGCAATGGGAAAAGCTCCCAATGATTTTCCCTCGCAAATTGAATGAGTCATCAGCCGAATGAGTCATTGATCCTGCAGGAAAACCTTCTTTGTTCAAAAGACTGTTGGTTTTTTTGTATATTAATCAGTCTAATTTTATATTATCCTTTATGTTATATGAAAATACATTAATAATTGATTACAATTTACTTACTATTCTCTTACTCTCCCACTTCCCCCTCCCCCCACCCCCAAAATTCTAGCTCGTCTAATTAGATTTCATACCCTCTCAACCCCAGAAATTTTCATCAATTTACTTTTAAAATCCCTACTAAATTAGCTACATTTTCGCGCTCTCTTCATTCTCTCTCTCTCTCTCTCTCTCTCTCTATAATCTTCGCATGCTTAAATATATTATTATTAATGTTGCAACATTTAAAAATGGCATTTTTCTCACTTCTCCTCCACATATTTTGTTACTATTAATCGTTTAAATGTCTCATTTATTAAAATTACTACATCTCTCTATACGTTTTTCGCGCGCTTTGCCACTAAGAATTATATGAAAAGAAATTAAAACTTGTGAGTACTGACCAATTACACAATAAAAAAATGAACAATTAAGAAATGTCTTTGACTTTCTTTCCTCTCCCAATCTTTGTTAAAATCAATTAAATTATATATTTGTGTACTTTTCGTCCCCTCTTTCTTAAATCTCTTTTTACCTAAACGAATCAGTCAATTTATTTTCTTCATTTGTATTCCCCAATTTATACAATTACATTGAATTATACCATTAAAAAACTCAAGAGTTCGGATAATTTTTTTCTTGCATTACATCCCAATTTTACTCTCTAAAATAATATACAAATAAAAAAATGTGTCAATAAAAATAATGATGTAACAAATTTTCAACAAAGTTCCTTCTTTTTGCATAATAAATTTTATACACACAATAATAGGAGGAGATAAAATAAAGTATTTAGAATGAGCTTTTTTTCATCTCTTGGGAAAACTGAGAGGCGGCAATAACAAAAATTTACACTAAAAACTATTTCTTAAAAAGAAAATTTCTCGCACAAAATCTCTTTGTGAAATTCATTCTTCTTTTATTATTATTTCATATTTCTATGCTGAGATTTTTTTCGTCCAATTTCTTCATACTTTCTTTACGTAGTTTTTTTGTTTTCTCTCTAAATTATAAGTAATAAATGCAGTGAAGCGATTTGAAAATTAAGAAATTTGTAATAAAGGGACAATATTAAACTTACTTGCATGGCTTTTTTCCAAGAAATAAATTACAAGGACACCTGGTAAATTGTTAAACGTTTTTTAATCATCTGTTAATCATCTTTCCACCTTTTTTTTGCAATTCCGTTAAGCGATAAACTAAATGATTTATGCCTACTTAACGAAGGGTGTTGACTTTCTTGACTATATATTTCGTTAATATAACTATTTCTCAACCATTTTCTTTCTCTTTCTTTCTATCTCTGTATTTTTTTCCATTAGAAAGCATTTATATATGTTATAGTTTTTTTCCTCTTCAACGTTGGAAATTTTGAAAAAAATGTCTAAAGAACGCGTTTTTCTTTTATAATTATTTCACGCGAAAGTGTTATTTCTCCATTTTAGTAAATAGTTTTTCTGCGCCTATATATTGAGTCCTGAAAAATTTCCACTTCATCTCTTGTCCTTATGAGCATTTTAGACAGGCACCTTCAACATCAAAGTCCAGTACCATCAACTTGGTTTCCTCCGTGCCATTGCGCGAGCCCACGGCACAGATTAACTTCGTATCATTAGCCCTGTTGGGTGGAAAAGAAGACACACCAATTTCAGTCATATTGCACCACATTTTAAGACAAAACCACTAACCTTATTCTCCACACAACACCTCCCGATCCACCCGAATCGAGAGCCACTAAATTCCTAATGAATTCACCAGTCTTAACATCCCACAGCTTCACAGTCCCGTCATCGGAGCTCGTGATAACAAAGCGAGAATTAAATTGCAGGCAAGTAACAGCTGATTGATGCTTATTTGGTCCTGAAACACACATACACACACATATAGATGAAAAGAGTCAGATTGTGATATTCATTGTGTGATCATCTCTCATTTTCAAATTCTACCTGAAAGTGTTTGTAGGCATTGTCCCGTGAGAATATCCCACACTTTGACTGTCGAATCGGCATTCCCGGACACCAAAATGTTCTGCCTCAGCTCCATTCCTGACGTGAGACTCTGATGTCCCATGAGAGTGTGCTTGCAGCTGCCGGTTTCCGCGTCCCACACGCGAATTGACGTATCCAATGACCCAGACACCACATGAATGCCGTCAAACTGCAATGAAGAACGAAGAACACATCAAAGCCACTGCTATCAATCTACACACCACTTGTTGATGCGCCTCACCTGAAGTGAGTACACCCGATTTGTATGGCCCTGAAGCGTGTGGAGACATTCAGCTTTCTCTGGATTCCACACCTTCACCATATAATCGTACGCCCCCGAAACCACCAGCTTGCCGTCATACTGCACACAGCGCACCGCCGCCAAGTGGCCCACAAGGATGTGCAGACAGATGCCACGGGTCACATCCCACACTCGCAACGTGGCATCGCGAGAACCACTCACGACTCTGCAGAGAAGAGAGAGAGAGAATGGAATGAGGAGATAATATGCCTTAAATCTGTACACCATTTCTGACTATGTGATTTCCTCCCTTGGCATTAGATCAATTCAAATCCTTGACAAACTTACTTGTTGCCATGCAAATGCATGCAGCGCACTGTCGACGTGTGTCCGTAGAGCGTGTGGATGCACTGTCCAGTGTCTGCGTTCCACACTTTGAGAGTCCTATCAGTACTGCCGGAAATTATGATGTTCGCCGACATCTGAGACGACCACACACCACCAGTATGACCGACGAGTGTTCGAAGGCACTGCAAGAACAAATCCCAATTAGTCGAGTGAATCATCGCGCGGAACATCATCAATAACAATTCCTTACCTTTCCCGTAATGGCAGACCAAACTTTGAGGGTGTTGTCATCAGACCCAGAAACAATTCTGTTACCGCAGAATTGCAGACACGTAATAACATGATCATCGTGTCCCTTGAGCACCTTTGGCTCTCTCACCGGACGCGAGCGCCAATTCATCTCGATGATGCTCTGCCGAATGTACGCCGCCTTCCACGGTGACGAAATGGGTGGCATATTTCCAGCTCGGCCCCTCTTCGGCCTATCCGTGGCACTCTCAATGATGATACTCGCCCTCTTGCACTTCTCCTTCCATAACAAATTATCATCGCAGAGAAAGCGCCAATTTCGACACGTCTGTGCCGCCCTCAGCAGATCCTTCGGCTCCAGATACGACAATACTTGCAGAGCCAACTCTTTGGGCAGCAGCGAAATGAAGTCACGCTGGAACTGTGGCTCAATCACCTTCATCATGTGACGCACCTGCGTCGGCTCGCACAGATCAATGAGACGATCCAGAGCCAGCAGACGCTCAGGCTGCGTCCAACGCTGAAACTGCATCAACCAATCGCCCAACTCTGGTGGCGGATTATCTTTGGTTGGGATGATCGATCGCGGTGTTCTCTTCTCGCTGGTGCTGGGACTCGTGATCGTGGGTGATGCTGATGGTGACAGCAGACCCACTGTCGCCTTTGCTCTGCCCTCGAGCGTGATACGCTTCCTTCCCGAGCCACTCTCCATAAAACTCCCGTCCAAATAGACAATCTCACTAATCTTCCGCTTCCTACTCACGCGCGGCGTCTCAGCGCCACTCGTTTCGTGCACGTAGTCGTACGTGTAGCCAGACAGATCAACATCACGCGACGGCAAGAGTTCGTCCTCGCTGCTGGCAACCTGCATTTGGAGAGGAAACAGTCATTTGAAAAGGATTCGGTTGGATAACAAAAACACAGCCTACTCACATTCTCCTCATCTGTGTACTCTCTGCAGGTGCAAACTTCCTCCACATCCGATCCCTCATCGCAATCCCCCCACGCGTCGTCTTCACCGAAGTCATGTTCAGACTCTGGTGGAATTGTTATGGGCGCTTCAGGCTCTAGAAGAGCGGCCTCCAGTGGCTTCAAGCGCCCCGAACGCCTTGATGTGGACGCCTCAGACGCATCGCCGAGCAGACTGGAGTAGTGCGCCTTGCCGGAGTGACCCTGACCGTCATCCACATCCAGATAGGCACCCGCCGCCGGCAACTCCAAGTCCCCGTCGCCGGCATATTGACAGGTGGGTGATGTCTGTGACGAGGTGGTCTGCGTGGCAGCTGAAGAGGTTCCAGCGGAGCCTGACGGACCCGGAGCCGTGCTTGTGGACGCACAGGCTTTGCTACAGCCCGCCGTCGACGGCCCACCCGCTACCTCATCCCCTCCTGCCGCCGCCGCCGCAGCCATTGGTGTGATGTATGGTGCTATGATTGAGGATCGATCCGAGGAGAGACTATCGTTGGAATTGTGATTGACAATGGCATCAAATTGCACCTCCTTGGGTGACTCACGATCCTCCACATTGGCATAGAAATTCGTCCGTCGACACGTCGTCTTTCTCTGACTATTTACAATTGACTGAGCACCCTCCTGATCCATCACCCCGTTACCCTCATTCGCCACGAGGCAACTGGACAAATTCACCTTCACCTTCGACGTTCTCACGACGCTCCGACTGCTCGTTGGCGTCGTGGAGGTACAACTCTCACCGATCGCCTGCAAAACGAGAGAGAGAGAGAGAATAAAGACACATTTTGTAGTACAGAACTTTGCTCAGGAATTTCCCGGTGGCCAGCAAAAAATAAGCCTCCCGGGAAGTGATGCGATCTTTCACTTCTCACTCTCGCAAACAGACACACACAAACACATATGCAATCGCTTATAATCTCCGATGGCCTTCTGTCGTGCGCGATCTGGAAAGAAATTCACCGGACATGCACAAGCGCAACAGTGAGAGAGAGAACCGGTATTCTCTTGGAGAGCGACAAATGCCAATTAATTTATTGGTGATCTTGTCTCAACTAGAAGATCACTCTGTCTCCGATAAATCTACAATACGTGAGTCTGATCTTGTATGCAAAACACAGCGCGATTGCAGTCTTCCTTCTCCTCCCCAAGTCGCGCCGCCGCACAGCCGCAAAAAGGCCTTCAGAAGAAAAACTCTAGAAACTCAATTTTTAGTACACCCAAAACCTCACTCACCTTCTTTCCCTCCTCACCGGCACTGCTGGCGTAATGATTGGAAATATTCAGCTTCAACTTATCTTCAGTCGTGGCCACAGCGTCATTGCGTATGATCACACCACCAATCAGTTGTTGCTCACGCTCAAAGTCCCTCCGCTCAATTGCATCCATCGATTGCACATCATTCTCATCGTAGATCGCATCCGCGGCGTGATCTTCAGGAGCGAAGAGAGCCGCCGGCGGGACCGACGATGCAGGAGCAGATGTCAGCTCCTCCGGCTGGCCATTGCCCTCCTCTTGCTGACCATTCGAATCCTCTTCTTCGTCAGCAGCTGCACTCGCGTGCCGCACTTTTGGCCCATTTGCCTTGCTACACGACGCTCCACCACTCGTCTCTCCATCGCACTTCCGCGCTCTCTTGCAAGACACTTTTTTCACGCACATTCCATCCACCTCATCCGCAACCTCTGTCGCCTCTCCCTCCGCCTCGTCCGCCTCCTCCGCCTCATCGCACGCCATCATTCGCGGCGAATCCCCGACACTCTTTCGTCTCACCTCGGACGATGCACCTGGAATGAGAAGACACGGCCCGAAATTTTTATTAACGTGAAATCACCATCTTTTCGCCTTTGCACGCGATCTTCCCCGAGAAATCTTCTCTCCCAGTCGTCTGTGTGCCTCCAATCAATGAATATTCATCTCCTCATTGATCGCATCTGCTCTGCAACATCGATCACACTTTTTGGCAAGCGATATTTTTAATATGAAAGGCTTATTTTGCCGGAATTTTTGGCAATTAAATTTCAATCATTCTCTTCTTGAGGATGTTATCAATAATTAATATTGGCTCTTTTCATCTGCAATTTTTAATATAAAACCATGAAACACTCCCAGCTTACTCTATTATAAACTGCAAAACTCATCGATTGAGCAATATTGTAAGTATTCAATTAAAACGATTTGAGATAAAATGGCTCTTTTCATTAATATGACAGAACTCTAATGCAAAGTCTGAGTTTTTGGAGATGAATAAACTCTTTGGAAACACTTTCAAACTTATACTCCATAATACAAAATTCGATTTCACGTCCCTAAAAAATTCAGCAAAAGATTTCATCGAATTCCCCTTTTGGCAGCTGAAGCCCTAAATAGCAACACAATTCCACACACTCACCTTTCTGTCGGTGTTTCTGCTTTGTGGACTCGGATGGTGGCTGTGCCGGATCACTTTTTTCACCATCATCATCATCATCATCGTCATCATTGTGGTGAACAACAGGTGTTTCGAAAATCATCTCCACTTTCTCATTATTTGACTCTCCCTCCGCCTCGCATTCCATCGCCGGCGGCTCCTCAACGCGGGGCGCATCGGGGAGTGTTGGGGACATGGCCGAGTAGCTGGGTGACGAGGACACCGCCCCATTGAGATCCGACGTGGAGTTGTTGAGACTGACGAGGGGCGTATTGTCGTACGGCAGGGAGTTAATCTCATCACCATCACCACTGATTATCAGCTCATCGCCAGAATCATTTGCCACATCCTGTGACACCTCTGAGAATTTCGAATTATTTATACTGGCAACCACTACGCATTCCTCCGCCATTATCTAAACACTATCAATTCTCGTGTGTGTGCCTGCAAATAGAGAGAGAAAAAATCATGGCAATTACTCAAAAATGTCATTGCGCGACTCTTTTTTTTTCTTCCACACACCCAGACATAGTCTTCAACCTAAGTGACCTCGTATTTAGATAATTTTTTGCAGCCAAAATGATGATCTGTGTATGAATAAATTTCATTGCATGGGATTTTCACTTCTAAAAGTGCGGTGAGAACATTTCCCTCGTCTCTTTTCACCCAGGTAAGCAACATTCAACCAACAACGGCGGCCCATGAGGAAGAGGCGCAATCTTTTGACAATGGCAAGAGAGAAAGGGGGCCCAAGAAAGGGTGCCTCATCCATTTGTTATGTACGTATCTCTCACTCGACTCCTTTTGCCATCAACGCGGCAATGGAAGATAGAAATGATGCGCGTTTATCTTCCCTCTGAAAATTCAGCATAAACCAATGGATGGAAGGAATTCTTTCACCTTCCCATGATCTTTGGGATTTTTCTCAAGGTGTTCGCGTCATGTTCATGGGAATTTTTGCACAGAAAATTACTCTCTCGCTCTTTACTCACATCTCAAAACAAGAAGATGAAGAGTGTGTGCAGTTGTCTTGTTCAAGAGAGATGAGGCGAAAAAGGGTTGGATGATGATGATAAAGTGGGTAAAAATTGTTCGTTCGATGTGCATTTTCCACTAATTTATCTTATCTTTGACACGTACAATTGCGTCTAGAAGGAATGTGCAAAAGTACACACAAACACATCACACATTAGAAATTGGGTGCATTTCAAGCAGAAAAACACTCTTTTTCACACTTCTTCCTCACATTATGCAAAAATTCCTACAAAAACCATGAATTAAGAAATGTGTCAATGATGCTGAAATAAATCCATTTCCCCTCTCCTTTTCAGCACAAAATTGAGGAAGTACAAACAACCATTGATATGGTTTCTCTCCTGAGAAAGTTGATCTGCGCCCCTCGAGTTTTGCATGCTAAAAGAAATATTTGCACCTTTTCTCACATGAACCTCGCAAACCGTCCAAGAGGCCAAGAGAACAATGCATCTGGAATCACATTCACACTGAGGCCATTCATTTGACAATAATTCCCTATAGGGAAAGACGGGACCACTGCAGTGTCTTCATTCAAACACACACACACACACACACACATTACGCAGTCAAAATAGCCCAACATTTCCCTACACCTTCAAATTCTCCTCACCACCGACCCTTTTGTACACAACAAGCATTGCGTCTGGAAAAGTCTTTTGAAAGGCAAAAAAGATGTTGGAGAAAAAAACTGAGTTAACAATAAAATCGAAATCGAATGAGTGAAGCAGGTATAAAAATTCCAACAGGTAGACAATTAATAATTACACGGTGAGAAAAAAAAATAAAGCGCTGAGAGAAAATGACGTTGAGAATCAAGGAGAGCGCGCTATCAAAAATTACAGGCCATCACCAAGCGCCAATTTGACCACTTGTGATCCCTCAAATTTCTCATCCCTCTGAGATATTAAAATTCCTAGCATAGCAAATGTGCCTCACAACAAAACACTGCATTTTTTCGACCCACACACACTCCAATTAATTAAAATACAATTCTTGGGGGATTTCTCTAAAGAATTTTTCTCACACAAAAAATCTTCCTCCACAATGCTGATCAAATTGTGGGAATTTTTCGATCGTCTACAAAAAAGAATCTCTTCCCAGAGACAAGCAATAATTCTCAAAATGACTGAAAATTGCAGACAAGCTGAAGAACAGACAAATAAAAAAAACAGGGCAAAATTACACCCGCAAAATTATTTCTCTTTTACACATCCAAAGTCTGTATTCACCTTTTGCGATCTTCACGAAATTCCCCTTAAATGATCGTATCGATCGTGAGGATTTTTTTCTCTTACTATTCTCTCAAGAGATTCAGTTTGGAATATCTAGAGAAATATTTAAGCCATTCACACAATTGTGGTGGAATTTTTTTCTTTGATAAATCCTACATCTTAGGAACACACAAATATCCCTTCACAAATCCCTGCATAGTTAAAGAATTGAACATTATGTGCAATAAAGCAAAAAAAAACTTTGCAAATAATCAGAGGAATATTTCTTGGTTATATCTTGAAAAGTATAGTGAATTCTTATCAAAGTCACAGAGTTTATTGAAATGTGAATCTCTTTTTGAGAGAGCATATCACGATGAAATGCAAAATTAGTTATTTCCAGGGTTGTCTGGAATTTTAAATCTTTCTCTTCTTCTTAGTAAGAAAAACTCACATTCTCGGGACAAATTCCAACCATGAAAATCCGCACTTAATGATCTTTGAAATCTTGCTGAGCTGCGAGTGGAAGACAATTTCACACTGAAAGGGAAGATACAGAGAGAAAATAGTGGCAGGAGAGACGCAGTTTCTCCTCTGGAAATTTATGGAATACAGACAACACATACACAATAGACAGACCCTAGTGAAACTACGAGTATCCTGCCAGAGATCAATTGATCTTCCATTTGTTGGTGTGCGCACTTTATTGATGCCACATTGTTCCAGCACAGCCACCCTGTTGCATCTCCTTCTTTCTCTCCCTCCGGGGACAAATGCAGGGAGACGACGTGAGTGGAGAAGAAACCACGGGGAGGACACATATTTAAAGGTAAGAGATACCTGGGAAGAAGACATGATTGAGTGAGAAAATACATTCTTGAGACCGCGCCGTAACCAAAAACTGAAAAAGAATTTTTTCCGTATCTTTCATGGGAATTTTCTGATTTCTCTCTCTCGCTTTTCGTTTTGTCCTCTTCTTCACTCGCATTCGATGGTCTGTTAATTCAACTCCATGTATAGCGCGACACGACGATCATCATTTTATTATACACCCAAGTCTCTCCTCTTCTTAGCTCGACAATAATAATAATAATAATATCCAAGCCTCTCTTCTACATCTTCTTCTTTTTTAACGTATTTAAACATACCCAAAGAAGCTCTATGTGAAGGCAGAAAGAGAAGAAAAAAAAAAAACTTGTCAATACTCCACACTCTGTTGAGGGTGTGAGACTGAGAGATCACATTTTTTTTAGCTGGTGGGAAACAAGCGAAAGAGAGTAAGAATGTTAGAGACACGCCACGAAGGATGGCACAAGGAAAAACGTCCAGCAAGACCCAAAGCGATATAATACAAAAGACCGAAGAAGAGACCCCAAATCGAAAAGCCAAGCAAACATACCAGCTCCCAAAGATCGCGAGAGCGAGAGAAAGACAAGAGGAGATCATGATGGTGAAAAAGCAGGCACATTTTATGTGATGTTCATAAACAAGCGCGCGCAAAGAAGAGGCAAGAGAGTGAGAGAGAATGGTGGGAATTTTTCCCACAGCCAGTAAGAAGATTCTCACACAGTGTGTGACACAGAAATCTTTCGATTCAACATCAAAATATTGTACGATCTTTGACCACACAGACAACTCACGATTCCCTCTTCATTTACAAACAACACAACACAACGCAACAAATTCGCCCCCTCGCAAGGCGTCGCTTTTCATATTTTTCGGGCGTGAAGAGATCACAACACTTGAAAATATATACATAGAATAGCCATCATATGATCGATGATTACAAGCCGTGAACAAATTAAATGAATACACTCTGGAATAGTTAATGCCTTAAGACAATTTGTCTTAATGAAGACATTTCCTCCTGTAACCGCTGCGGAAGCCACTTTAAATGTCGTTTTCTCTCCACATATTTTCTATGCGCGCAAACCCATTTGGCGGCGGGACGTTAAATATGTATATTCTCTCACGTGTGTGTTTGATGGGAGAAGAATTTTGTAAACTTCACCATTTGACCTTGCTTGAGAAATGGTACACTTTTCTTTCAACCACCAAACAAGAGATAGAACAAGAAAATCACCTAATTTCATATACAATTTCCTAAGTGGACACCTTATAAAAATACCTTAAAGCCGCACCTCAAAATAGACAGATTTTACACACAGTGAATTAAATGCACCACTGGCGTCATTATAATTTCAAATCAATATCTTCCACCTCAATCTCTTTCCTTCTCATGCTTTAGCCATTCCGACATGGCGTGTGAATTGAGAACTAGAATACAGATTAGCGCAGCTTCCTCGCATATTCGATCAATCTCCAAACGCCTATCATCTCACCATCGTCGCGCGATCGTACGAAAGGTTTTTCATATTATATTCACTTGTGTGTTGAGTAAGAAAACCTCCTCTTCCTGTTTCAACCATCGACGATCCTTTTTTATATAGTTTATGTATATTCCACACACTATCGACAATTCCCTCACTTTTGGGCCTCGCTTTCAATTAAAATAAGCACCTGTTTCTTCCCTGTTCTTTTTCCACCGTTTCTCTCTCCGCTTTTTTCTTTCTTTTCAACACACACGGCATTCCCACCATCCACGCGGAGAGGAGAGAAGTCGTTATATTGAAATATAAAATGTATAATGTGGGTATAAAAATTGTGAGATGCAGTATGGTGGACGGCAAAGAAAAACCACATGGAAATACAGTAGCGAAAATTTGTTTAGGAAATTTGCGAAAAGAATCAGAACTTTATGAGAAATGCGTAAAAGGAATGCGAAAATCAAATTAAGACACTTCATATTTGGCTCTTAATCCACATTATAACCATAATACTGACTGGGATAACTACATTAAATAATGAGTTTAAAATGTCTGGAAGATATTTTATTCACATCATTTTAATGCACAGTAGGAAAGGGGTTCTAATTGCGTTTACATATTTTCTAGCATTCAAACATTCTCTAATGCCCAGAAAACACAACATTGTAGCGATTATAGCACACAAAAAATACTCTGAAAAACCGAAAAACCCAAGAAGAAACTTTACCCAAAATTTCTGAGATACCCTAAACTAATTTTCGCTACTGTATTCGTAACGAAACATGGTTGAATTTCATACATATAAAACCGCGCGCACTGAAAGAAGCCGCATTTATAGCAATTTCAACAATCCTATTTCAATTTTCCATATATTCTTTTTTCCTCTTCTCTCGCTCTCTCTCTCTTTTTCCTCATCATCTTAGGCCACTTTTCACGCGTGCAACACTATTTTTGCACTTGCATTTGCATTCTTTTTTTCTCTCTTCTCCATTCCTCTACACTTTTGTCCATACATTACATATATATGTATGTTTCAACCTCAACCAGCAGCCCAGCAATCTGCGAGTATTTCCATATAGCCAATCTCAATGTTGCTATGCTGTGTGTCTCATTAAATTTCTGTAACAGTGGGATTTTTCGTGACGTCTCTCGAAGGCGAAGCTCTGAGATCCAACTTGGCGCAAATATTCAGTGTAAAATGATTGTTAACAGCCTTGAAAGTTGATGATGGCCAAAACGAAACAGCGTACAGGCAAATTGTGCATAATCAACGTGTTTGTTGTTTGGTGGCAGCAGCTTTTTTATTAACAACACAGCAGCCCAACAGAGAGAAAAGACATTGGGAAATTCTTTCAACGCCCCTCAAAAAGAAAGAGACACATTCCTTAATTTCACCTCCAAGCCAAAAATTTCTTCCCATCTTCTTCTTTTTATATCCGCGAGAGTCTCTTTTTTCCCACCATTAACCTTTCTTAACCATAACTCATAATCATTTCCAACCATTGCATTCTCAAACCGTGAAAATTGATCATTTTTTCCTGTGTTGCTGCGCTGCGCCTCGCATTGGCCAAATGAAAGTCTCTCTCGCACACACGATAAACTTCATTTAGCAATGAACAATCGTTGCTCATCATTTTTTCTTCTTCTTCTTCATTTGTACAATCAAATAAGACTTTCAAATTAAAAAAGTGAAGCTTCTTAATATCGATTTTAAATTCTGACGAGGAAATTCCTCAAATCTCATTAAATTACGTCCCTATGTCAGCACATTCTGAAATCCTCTCATCTTAAGGTATATTTTTATCTTCTGCCAATCATATTCCCACCCAACAAGGGGGAGAAAATCACACAGAATAGTGTAGAGTAAAACATTTGGCACTTACGCCCTTCTCAAGTCTCTTTGATTAATACAGCTTTAACTCTTTTTAAAATTAAAAGAAATACTGAATAAATCCTGAAGGGACATTAAGGCAAAATTGAACTCATTCCACAGACAACTTCGGCTGCAAATTCTGATAATTTCCCATCAATCTATCATCGTTGTACACTTTGCATTCCTATCAACAGACACACACACACACACCGATTATAATATTTATGCAACGACTCAGAAAATCACCCATAATTTCGTCAAAACTGCGGCATATTTTATGCAAATGCTCAAAACGAAATGACATTTATTGAAGAAGCGACTACATAAAAATCTCGTTATTTGTGCCAACTGCTTTTTTTGACTTCAATCTTCCGCTGCAAAAATTTATCTGTAGCAGTTGTCTTGGGCGAAACAAATAAATCAACCCCCCATTTAAACAAAAAAAAAAACATTCATACAAACTTTCTCTGCGCCAAAAAAAGAGAGTAATATTGCTCTAGTTTCTTTTTTATCGTGCTGTATGTCCTCTCCCATGGGAGAACGTTTATTCCAGGAGTGGACAAAATAATACCAATTATTGCTGTCTCTTTAACTATTCATCAGATAATTCCCCATAATATTACACGTGGAAGTGGATAAATCAATAATTCATTCACTGAAACGGAAATTATTTTCTTGCATTTTTTAAAGCCAAACAGGAAAAGTCTGTAGACAGAAAAGATATATATATATATATATATGTATATATCGAGGAATATACATTTGGAGGAGTCCCAAATCAACGCTGATTTATCAGACAATTGGCCAACAAAAGAGAAAAGAAGAAAAAAAACTCTCCCTGCTCTTGAATTAAAAATCGATTTTGCTGGATTTGCAATTCAGCACAAGGCGACACAGACAAGATGAAAAGTGCTCTCCTTCGATGCCTTTTCTCATGATATGCCATTGGAATTCAAGGATCACATCAATAAAGTTATTTTCATAAGGGACACTTTTCACCTGGAGAATTGCTTAAAGAATATTGGAAGATAATATAATATTTCTTTATTGCCCACCAGACAGCCTCTCGGCGACCTCTTCGTTTCGACAAAACTCCCAAACCTTTATTGCAGCTCCGCCAAGGTCTACAACAACACAGTCTCCCTTATAAAAGAATAAAATCCCAAAAATTAGGGAGTTTAGGCGGCTTTTTGGGTGCGGATTCGCTGTCTTTCTCTCCCTCCTTGTCTCTTCTTCTGTTTGTCATGAAACATTTTTAGTGATGAAAATTTCCACACGAGCAGACAACAAACGCAAGAAGAACAGCCATGAGCAGGATTCCAATGAATTAATCGATCTCTCTAATCATTTCCCGCAGCATCTCATCGCTTTTTTCCAACTCTTCCTCCTCACTTCTTGGACTCTCTTGTGGCTCCTCGAGTCACACAGAGAAACACACACACACACACACACTTTTCCAACCACCAGTGAAACGCGCATGAAGAGGACAGATGGAGTGAAAAGTAAGAAGTCACCAGACAACATCCCAATTGAAATAAGCCCCCGAAGAGATGTATGGAACACAGACGATGGTGAGAGTGTCTGTCGTTCTTTCTTGCCTCCACTGCTTCTCCATCGTCATCATCAACGGCACGGCCTTTATCCCAATTGATTGTAACATCTCTCGAAGCTCTACCAAAAACACGTTGACTTTGTCCACCACTTCTTCGGCTAGAGATGGACAACAAACAGGAGGAAAGACTCTATCTTTCAGAGAAAAAAACTCCACACAATTAACTTTTCTAATAACCCTTTCTTTAATTGCGAATGCAAAGAATTCAGAGACATTTTCTAGTTGTAAAATTGTCGAAAGCGTACGAAATTACCATTTTTATCAACATCTGTCGTATTAAGAAAGTTAAATTTATGCACTTTAAGGTTATAATTGCTAGTAAAATGAGTGAATAAATGCTTAAAAATATTTTTAATATCCTTTGGGGGGCGAAAAATATGCACAAACAAGAAAATACATCGCAATAAGCCTAATAGGTCAGTATTATCCTTTATTCCAATTAATTTGACAAGTCACATACTAAAGTATCCTTTTGGTGGTTGAATTTCCCATTAAAATTTAATAAAACTCTCAAATTTTCTCCAGGAAAAGTAATGAAAGTGTACAGAAGAGCTTCATTTATGAATTAATAACCTTCCTAATAAACACTTTAGGTCAGACAAATAGGAAGAATCTCTCAAATTGAGTGACAAACAACAAAGATATCTCACCAAAATTCCTTCCAATCACTGGAAATTCTCACTATCACAGTCTCAAAGAAACTCTTTCTCACTTCAACTTGTCCTGAGCGCCAGAAAGGATCCCCCGAAAGGGCGCAGGGCTCAATAGGGATGGAATACTGACACAATGGCGAGAAGTGTTCCCAGGCAGAGCAAAAGCCACCTCTCAGGGCGGCTCCACGCACTGTTCTGCCGACTGTGGCTGCTGAAGATGGTCCAACGAATAAGGCGTGGAGGAGATGAGAGGAAAAAGAACAGCGAGACGGCTGAGAAACAGGATGTAAGGGAGAGAAGAGAAGACTTGAGAGAGCAATTGAGGACAGAAAAAATGGGCCGCAAAGGCAGGTAATCGTCGGGGTTGGGAAAAATTACTTCCGGTAGGAGGAAAAGGCGATTTTCCAGGGCTTTTCTTGAGGCTCTGCTCTGATGGTTGGGCAACTCCCGGACTCGTGGCACAGCGTGGGAAAATGCCCCCGAGTGGGCACAAAGAGCACTTTGAGTGCACGAGTGGCGGGCATTGGTTTCAGGGCGTGTCCTTAGCCACCTCGTGGTGTGGATGTGGGCGATCTGTGAGCCCCGGAAGTCCCAGAAAAGTGCGTGAGATGCAGATGGGGTGAGAAAAAGTCACACTAATTGCGCACAACTTGTCACTGATATTCTCACTTACCTCCCTCGCCCGTGCACTTTCCACCCAATGTCCTGCAATTACGGCACTACACACGAACTTTTCCACACATTTTCAACTATTTACAGACCACAGATAGGGCACAGAAAGTCACTTTTTCAACCTCCGCAAGCACTTCACGCGACCATGGCAGCCATTTTTCACCTTTTGAGAGCTTCTGGCAACCAGTGCCGCCAACCGTCAACACTGAGCAACTCTCGCCATCGCGGCCAACTTCAGTTTATTTTCTGAGCTCAATTCGCGGCGGAGAGAAAAAAATGCAAGGCTTTTCTCAGGTGATAAAACTTAAGATTAAGCACTTGATTGGAGGTGTCGGAAGCAGATGTTTCAGCAAGATGACTGCGCAAATGAATCAAAAGGTGGCGGTTTGTCAGATGCGAGCGACAAACGACAAGGACAGTAATCTGGGACAAGTGAAGAATCTGGTGGAGAAGGCAAAAAATCAGGGAGCAACGGTGAGGATGGTTTCCTTAAAATTTCTATTGGTATTCTCTACCCTTGCGGGTCTTTTCAGTTTGTCTTCCTTCCGGAATGCTGTGACTTCGTGGGAGAGAATCGTCAGGAGACCTTAAGATTATCAGAAACCCTTTTCGGAAATCTCGTGGAAGCGTATAAAAGTCTGGCCAGGAGTCAGAATGTTTGGCTCTCTCTGGGAGGATTGCATGAAATCTCCCCAGACGCCCCAAATCCACCCACGAAGATCCACAATTGTCACGTTATCATAGATAATTGCGGTCAATTAGTCGCTTCGTATAGGAAATTGCACATGTTTGATGTCGATACGTCAGAATTTCGCTTCCGGGAGTCAGAAGTCGTGGCTCAGGGACCAGGAATTGTCATGCCGATAGACACCCCGATAGGTTTGCTCGGCCTGCAAATTGTATGTCATGAGAATCCTTGAATATTCTAGACAGAAAGTGATTTTTTGTGGTACTTCGCAGTGCTATGATGTGAGATTTCCGGAAGTAAGTGGGATTCTTCGCTCCCAGGGTGCTCAGATACTGACTTACCCGTCAGCTTTCGCCTATGCCACGGGATTAGCTCATTGGGAGACGTTGCTGAAGAGCAGAGCCATAGAGAATCAGTGCTATGTGATTGCAGCTGCCCAGATGGGCTTCCACAACAAAAAGCGGAGGAGTTATGGGCATGCAATGGTGAGGAAGACTTCTCTAGTACTCAGACGTATGTCATAATGGATATATTTCTTGCAGATTGTTGATCCCTGGGGCCAAGTTTTGGTCGATTGTGAGGAGAAGGAACTGGAAGTGGCTGTGATTGATGTGGATTTGGACAAAGTGGCCTCCGTGAGGCGAAATATGCCATGTGAAGAGCACAGGAAGATGTGTGAAAACATCTACTCAAGGCTTCCGCTAAGAATTCACCCTGAGATTGCGAGAGATTTCGATTTTGGCGGATTTGCCATCCCTAAAGCGACTGTTTTCTATGAATCTGCACACAGTTTCGCCTTCACTAACATCCGATGTGTCGTTCCGGGACGTGAGTACTCATGAATCATATGAATTGGGTGATGATTTACAATGTTTGACTGATAAGACTACTTAAATGTTGTCCAGATTGCTTGATAGCGACGAAGAGGCCCGCCAAGAGACTCTCAGATCTCACACCGGAAGAAATTGGGGACTTCTTCAATGCTGCTGTGGTTGTGCAGAAGGTGCTGGAGTCTTTCTACAGCGTCTCCGCGTCCAATGTGACAGTCCAGGATGGCAAGGAAGCTGGTCAGACTGTCGCTCACGTGCACTGTCACATTTTGCCGCGTCGCGAGGGTGATTTTTCCTACACAGACAAGATCTACTCGGAGTTGAGGCGCCACGACAGCGCCCCCGTGGACACCAACAGACGTCCTCTCGAGGAAATGGTGGCGGAGGCTGAAAAGTACCGACAACTCCTCAAAGGCACGAGATAGAGAATTACCAAGTGCCAATAATTGGCTCTTTATTCCACGGTTTTTAGTGCTTATACAACAAAAAATATCGATAAACAAAGATGTTAAAAATTTTGGGTTTTATCCGGATTAATATATGTTGCATATTTTATAACATTTTTTTCCAATTCCACGAGTACTTTTCTCTCAATCACTTAAATTCTAAGCTATATTGCAGTCTTATTAACTGTCTCTTGTTTTACCGTGCCAGTTCTTTTCCAAAAGAATAAATTGAACTTAACTTTATACAAATATATTATATTAATTCCTTATTGCCAAAAAGTCTCATGAGAAATTTCACCCTTTTTTCATTTTTACTTTCAATGCCAAACAAAACAATTTACTTTTTAGCTATTAACAAATACTATAAATTCCATAAAATTCACAATTTCTCTCTTCCGCCTTTGGGTTAAATGTTATTCATTTATTTTTCATATCAATAGAGTAACAATTTCTTTGTATCAAAAACACTGGCGTGTGATTATTTTTTTTTGTCACATGAGTTACCATTTATTTAAAGGGAAGGAAAGAGGCAATGTTTTGTGGAAAATGTCTCAATAGAAAAGGACTCGATTAAGTTATCGTTATCGTTTATATTGGTTTGTATTTCTTATGTTGAAGAGGGAATATTTTAGAGTTAAAAGCAGAATAATACCGCCACTATAGTTGATTATTCATGAGATACATCCTTCTGCCCATCGAGGAAAACCGCATAAGAACACTTTTCTTCCTTAGAAATATCCCTTTTTTTATAATAGACTATCTAATCAGAGTATCAAGAAAAATGCCTGTGGAAAACATTTTTGGCATTGGAAAATCTCCCTCCGCATCGGTTGAATCTAAACTGGGAGCGTTCACAAAAAAGGACTTTAAGAGGTAACACAGTGATAAAAAATACATAAATTACAATATTACAAAATATATACTGACTATTTTTTAGCTAAAATGGCCATCCTTCCAGCGGACAATTTAGAGTAGACAGAGAACAAAATAAGAATATGTACTGTACAAAAGACAAGATAATAATGTGGCTAAAATGTTCTGAACATTTCAGACTTTTGGGGAGAAGGAAAAAAGGAAACTTAAAGTGCGAGGATATCGAGAATGATTTGTTAGAAAATTAACAAATATACTTCGAAGCCTTCCTCTCTCTCTCTCTCTCTCTCTCTCTGTCTCTTAACTATTAAGATTGTCGTCCACCGATTGGCAGCACAGCGACGTCACGAGGGAGTCAAAGTCGCCCAGCGACGTCTCAAACTGCTCCAGTTGCTTCGTCAAGTCATCCACTTCAATGTCTTCGTCCAGCGGAGAGTCTGAGAAGCCCTGTAACGGAGGTGCATTGAAGCAATCCCTGTAGAACTTCGCCAGATCACTGATGGGCGTATTTGTGGTGGCAAAGGGGAAATGCTGCAATAAAAAAACATCAAGAGATCGTTAAAAATAGGGCAAGATATATATGAACAAAGACTTCTATTAGCATCCAAAGGTCTCTCTCTTCCAATCTATCACACACCATGATTAGATAACAATTAGACCTCAACTCACCAACTCTTTCAGCAGGTTCTCATCCTCCGCCGGCACAACTCTCGACGTTGACCATCGTGATGACGGCCTCCTCGTCAACTCCTGTGCGCTGGGCGACGATCCATTGACATCCTTGCTCTCATCACCACCCTCCAAATTCCTCGTGGCGTTGTTGTTGTTATTGCAGGCACTCTCCTCAGCCACTGCTGGCCTCACGGCGGTCTGGCAGCTCTTCTCCTCACTCTCCGCCGCCTCCTCCTTGGTCTTTCGCAGCAACCAACTGAATGGTGGCGTCTCGGGCAGAATGTAGTCCTCCTCCGTGTACTGCTTCGTTCTACTGGGATCGACAAATGCTCCAATCCGCATCGGCTTGTCCAAGTCCACCACTTTTTTCTCGCATCTGCACAGAGATAAAGCAACGGAAAATAAATATATTGTATCCGGATTAATCATGTGAAATAATTATACGCCACAATGAGAAAACAGTTCACTAAATTGCCCGAGGAATGCGATCAACGCAAGAAATGCAGATGCAGAAAACCACAATGTGTTACGCAATTTTGGTGAAATTACCAAAAAAAAAAACATTATGTATTCACCACAAAATCGTTGCTCTCTTTGCTCTGATTGCATCGTCAAAGTGTAATTTAACCGAAAAACCGCGAAAATCTACGCTTTTAATGTATGAAATATGATAAAGAGAAGGAAAAGTGGCAAAAAGCATCGGTTCTGCTAGATTTACATAGAAATTTGCCAAACTATTCACAGAATTTGTTGCATTTTTCCAGAGTTTATTCCACTAAATTGAAATGGATAATTTAGTCCTTAGACTGTCGTTTTAACCTATTTTTGAATCTAAAATTTTATTAAAATGGAGAAATTGCACGCATTTTTTAATCAATAAGTGTCGAAAACTTCAATAACTAAGATCAGAGATCTTCTAAATCGACTTATTAGTATCTATTATCGTTTTATCACTCAAATTCGTCACAATACTTAATAAAAATTGCGCACATCATTTTGTACTTCTCTTCACTTTTAAATTACACGACAGTGTCTTTTTCTATCGACCACAGAACTTGAATAATGTGAAATCCCGCAGTCTCTAATTCTCATTTTACGTGACTTCCCAAGATTCTCTCGATGGTGTGAAAGAAGAGAGAATTTTCATTAGAAAGAACTCGTCTTGAGATTTACATTAATTTCCAATTAATATGTCGGTCTAAAATACTGTAAAAGACGAAACTCAGCATGTTTAGAGACAATAAATACGAGTTTGAGTGGACATACAGTGGCTAACAATATGCTGTTCATCACATCTTTCATCTAATTGAACTCTATATATACACTTTGCCTCGCGTCTGTATCTTTTTTCTATTTATTCTCCCCACTTTTGCAAACTACGCATTTTATAGAGAATTTCTCGTGCTGATAATCCCCAACCTATCACTGACTGACACACCACAACTATATTCCGTTTGGCCAACGATCTCACGTCCGAGCGTCGTTCATAAACACTCTTGAAGATCTCAATTCACAATATCAATTAGCCATTCTGTCAGCGCCCTCTTCAGAGGCGCCACTGCAAATTTTTTTTCCCACACTCCTTTGCATACAAATACAGAAAACAATTTTTCATTTCTCACTCCATTTCCCCGCCTAATCTCTACTTAACAATTAACCACGGCGCTTTTTCTCCCCTTCGCGAAAAAAAACCACACATAAATTGGCGCCATTTACTTGCCACCCAGTCATTATATTATATAAGAACCATATTTCTAACTTGACCACAAGTAAAATTGGTTGAGCGTGCTTTTTTCTACCGACACCTCTCTATCTGTTGAACACCTTTTGCTTTTCCTGGTATGGATTTATCTAAACAGAGAACCAAAAATAGCATTTGGCGACGCACACAAAATAGAGAAAATAAAGATTACACACCACAGCGTGTCTCTGAGGAATTTGACGAACAAACCGCCATGGCGTGATTAGATAGCAAAAATCCGGAATATACTTGCACACCACCCACAATATTTCTCTCACTCACTTTGCGGCGCTTTAGCGCAATTTTATTTGCCAGTCACCGGCTTTCAAGGGGCTAAAAACTCTTCAGTTTCCGCGCACAATGTTGTTATCAACGAGAATATGATTGCGAAAGCGCCCACTTGAAACGTCTTAATTTTGCTATTATTACCCAGCCGGTTTCGGCGGCAACTTTCCCTCCTGCACATTTCACAAAATCACTCCCAAGAGTGACTTTTTCTCACTCTCTCTGTCAATCTATCTTTCTCTCTCAAAATCCTAGCACTGATAAATCCATTGGTATAAACTCACGTTTTTCTATTGCTGTGATGATATCTGATGTGCTTCGGGCTGATATCCTTGAGAAAGTGATCACTCTTGAGCATAATCGTGTTGTCCCTGCCCGTCTGCGTCGGTGAGATGGTCATTTTTGTGCGATAGGCCACTTCCATGCTCAGCATGCCGACTGTTGTGCACAATTGTCCCACCCGTAGTTGCTTATGACCGTCTCCTGCGAAGAAGAAAACACACGGTGCGCGATGTTGAACGTTCAATCAAATTCAACCGACTGAGTATATGAACACCGTCAACTCTCAAGACTCGCAATCAACTCTTTTTTCCTCCCCATTCTTTCTCTCTCGCACACACATTTACTAAAAATAAGTGTATGTTTCTTATCTTCAAACACTCTCATATATTTTCTTTGCCTTGTGTTAACTTTGTATGCGTCAGACGCAATCATCTTATGTATATACATATTTATGGTGGCCGAGGGCTTTGCCGATACAGCAAATATTTCTACAAGAGACACAGATGTGGGAAAAATGTACCAGACACTTTACATTTACTCATTTTTCCAAAAAATTACTTGTTATTTGCCTAATTTCTGGTTACGAAAAGTCATTAAACTGAATTTATTCACAATTCAATCTTGTATTTAGAAGCTAAAGAAAGGGAAAACTTTGAATTTCTTAAAAGATTAATTGTCAGTGACATTAAAAACAGATCCACAAAATAGTTTTTCTGCAAAAAAATCAGTCAAATTAAATGTAATACACGTAAATCAATGCGTAAAGTTCCAACTTCATCTCTTATTTGTAGTTTGAAAATGAAAACGAGTGATTCATCCTTTCAAATTGTATGCATTTAACATTTCATCTGCATGACTAAGTCGAGATGAGGATGGATTTTGACCTGGAAAGGCGAAAATCACATAATTAAATCTCACAATTCAATGAGAGGCGCTCGCATAAACGTGCCACAGAGTGTAGAATTTCAGTGTCTCCTTCAACCACATTGAGAGCAGTGCTGATTTATTTATATCGAATACTGGCGCTATTTTGATATTTATCCCACTTGTAAATAGAATTATTTAATAATTCTTTCCTCTCTCTTTCTCTGGAGACAACCAGCATACAATTGAATTCCTTTCTCCCACTTTTCATGTGAAATCCCATCTATATTTCCTCATCATGATTAAGGGACAAACAATTCAATAATTAAATGCCTTCAGCACACATTCTCGACAACATCATCATTGATTTCTAGAAGCACAAAATCCGACTTTTCGACCATCAAACTGCACATGATTACAAACAGAAATCCATCCTTGAATCTCGTTGGAAACTTTCCGCTCGAGATGATGTGTTTTTCTTCCCATCCATTTCACTTTCAAATGAGTCTTCAATTGAGGAGCAATGAGTGGAAGATTCGGCACTATAATATTTGATTTGCTTTCATTGAACATCGCAACCACGGCATGTGATGTCTTGCTGCTGATCTCGAAACTCTTTTGTAGTTTGGGGAATTGCGGAAGTGCCACATTGAGTAAATTGAGCACTATCTCTGAAACATCTTCATTTCCTCATTTGCAGTGACCAAAAATAACTACATATCATCTTGGATATCAGGAAGTTTGGATGGATTGTGAAGACTTGAAGGTGAATTGTTGTGCGAGAGAAGAACAAAAAATTTATTGGCAATTTTATTGACATGATAATACGGAAACTTTTACCCAACTTAATATTTTAAGGCGTCGTTGCAACTACATATACTTTCATAACATTTTAAATATGAATTCGTTAAAAAGTATTACAAGATTATGAATCGTTGCGTAAAGTCAAGAAATTCCAGAAAATTCTACTGAGAACCAAGGAAATAGACAATAATGATGTTTACATGTAGATAAACATATATTTATTGGATTTTCTGGTCATTATATTAATATTATAATATAATATACATAACATTATATTATAATATAATTATAATATTGCAACGACCCATAAGTTTCCAATAATTATTACGTTCATCTTGTTATTGGGTTTCTGTTGATTAGTTTTTGCATATTGAATTGAAAATCTTATTTATTGATAAGGCAACAAAGGTCTTATCTAGTTTCAAATTACCAACTTGATTGTAGAAAACTCATCAATGCTCAATTTCAAAGACTCATTCACTCGTTTATTTTTACCCGTCACAATTAATTTCAAGCATTTTCATCTCATTCTCTCTCTCTCCGTCTTTCAATTAACAATCATTGCCTTGACTCAGTAAATGAGCGCTAAAAATCCATCTTCAATGCAATTCAATCCACAACAGTATGTATATTGAAGACTCGCAAACAACACGAGGCAATCATGGAGATCTATTGGCCATCAAATCCCTGGTGCATCGCGCACAAGACAAGCTGTGAAAAATGCTTGAATGGGAGAATGTAAATAAGGAGAATGATTGTAGAAAATCTTGTCAGTTGCGCGCTGTGTTTGTCGCCGTCGCGGGCATGGAGATTAGATTGATTGAGTCACTCTCTGTGTTGGCAGAGTTGTGCTGAAGGGAAACCATATGAATTTATAGTAAACAACAGTGAGCTGCAAAATATTGCACAACAATTACATGATCACACTTGCGACTCTGTCCTCAATGCCTAAGAGACATTCTTGCCATGTCATTTTACAGAAATTCCTCAGAAGCCGAAGCAAAGCTTAGGATTAGTCACTGCATCCGGAATTCCCTCAATTTTTAACCACGAAAATCACACACGAGAAGAAAAACCTACGTGATTCCAATCACGTTCATACACTCAAGAGATGGCAAATATAGTTGATCGATTTATTGCTTGGGAACACGTTTTTAGTTCCTCTCTTAAAGTTGTTTACATTTTTTCCCGTTCTCGCGCCTTCGAAAGCAAATCACATGACTTTGAGAGAAGCACGGCAGAAAAAAACGACCCCAAAATGTTTATCCATCGCAAATTCTTGTACTTTCCTTCAAAGTCAATTATTTCCAGTTTGAGTCAGTTAACTAAAATGATAAATTGTATCTGTGCTTATTTGAATATCAACACAACACGGGACTTAAGCAAATCTTTAGTGCTTCGCAAATCAACATTGAATGGCATTTTGCATGATGAATATTGAAATGATTTATAAATGTTGGAAAATAAGGTGTTAAACAGTCACGATGGCACGTGGATTTCTGAGAATCACATAAAACAATATATATTGATGACCAACAGTTATTTTTTTCCCGCACACACGATTAAAACTTAATAATAACTTCACCTGAGAGCGAAATCATATAAGAGAAACGTTTAGGATGTTTATTTTTAGATAGGGAAGAAGGAAGTTGAGTTTGATTATTTCCTTATAAGTCACAGCAATGTGGAAAAAAAGTCATGTTTTTTTCTCTCTTCTATTCACTCTCCCTCAACCAAGTCACTGACATTTACACAAATTCTCATTGAACAGCTCAACTGGGAGTCCTTGAGGAAAGTTTTCTGGCTTTTTTACCCCCCCCCCTCGTCACAGAAAGATAAAGAGTAAGAATGTCTCAAGTTTCCTCAAATAACTGCCAGTTGAGAATTTTGAGCTCACTGAATTGCGGGCTCAATTTTTTTTTGCAGACAAGCCCAGAAAGTGAAGGCAAGACAGAAAAAAATCCACTGATAATTTTAATTAATCATCCTGGCAATGCGGAGCGTTTTAGAGAGAGATTAAGGCAATATTTTTTTGCTCTCTCTCTCTCTCTTCATTTCAACATCCCGCCAATTTTGCCCATCTTTTCTCGCATATTTTTTTCTCTCTATCCATTTTTACTGCTCTCTTTCTCTTTAGTGTCTAATAATCTAATAAATTGTTGGAGCAAAATAATTATCTGGTGGATTTTTTTTCTTCTACATATTGTACTTTCTGGCCACACAACTCTGCATTGAAGTGGAACACAGTGTTTGTGTGTACATAAAAGCCACACTTTTTCGGGGCATTCTCTCTCGTGCGATTAATGAGAGAGAATAAAGAAGCACGAATATGGAGAGATAATGCAGGAAAAGATACTTTTTTTTAATGGGAAATTTAAATTAATAATTCACGTGGAATAATCAGAAAATTACTCATCAAAGAGTTATAAGCTTTTACCAAAAAGTGTGGATTATTCGGTTCTTGAAGTTTTTGCCTGCTCTGACAAATGAATGTTCCTTTGAATACATTCTGGAGAATATTTTTATCAAAATAGTTTAATCTAAGCCTTTCTCCGAATTAAATTGATAGAGATTCCGACACATTAGGTATATATGAAAACAAATGTTAAATGAATAGGCCACAATTCCCGGAAAATTCACTCCATTCCTTGATAAATTATTTTCTATTCCATTTACTAAGACTATAAGAAACACCAAAATTGTACTGTGCAACATTTTGAATGCGTTGTTTGACTAAAAACTTCTAATTTGTTAAGAAGATGAGTTTAATTTCTGCGCCAGAATTCATAACAAATTTTATGAGTTGTAACAACTTTGTATTTTCCATAAAATAGGGTAATTTTTTTTAACATAATTTCGCCCCAGAAGAGTAACAGAAGAGCTGTAATTGAATTTTTTTTGTTCAAATTCCACACAATTTTTTCAGTCACAGTCAACAGTTGCAGCACAAAGTGGTCACAAATATTGCCACGATTCTACAAGTTTCACACCTGAGCATTCACAGTCAGATTAAGGAGAAATAGAGCAAAATTCACATAGAGAAATACCAGATATATTGCAAAATGCCAGGTGTTTTGTTCTTGTAAAAGCCCCACAATCATGTTTTTCTCCTCCTCTACACATCCACACTTTCTGCCACCCTAATTAAACATTTATTCGTTTTTAAAATTTGCATAATCAGCAATTTGTAGCTTTATATTCTCAGTGACAGTGCACAAAAAAACAGTAACAACAACCACTGGTAATTTTGTCAGTTTGTACACAAAAGTGGGATGAAAAAAAAGAGCGGGAGAAGCAAACAGAATGGACAACAATTGCTGCCTTGCCAAATATTGCACAAACACAGAGAGAAAAATTCATTTGCAAAAGCGATTTTTGAAGAATGTAAACAAAAATTGAGCTCTTCTGCAATTGCGGAAAAATTCACATGGCATAATTGAGTGTGACAACGAAACAGTGACAAAGTGATTGGGCATAATGGTAATTTTTATCCATTCAATATGATTAGCATTTTTCGAAAAAGGGCAATTGTCCTCTCTTCATTTGTTATTTTTATTTCCCACTTTAAACACACACACACACACACACACGCACACACACAACATTAACCACAAATTCATTGCAAAGCGTAAGAAATTGGTAAAGTAAATCAATTAACTCATCCATATTTTCTGTGTTGGATCGTTGAACTTCACTGTGTAAATAACATACACTTTTCAAATCATCAAAGCCTCCTCTTACAAATATTTAATCACTGACTTTGATAATTGCGTTCCATTGCACTTTGTCAAATTGATACGCTCCACACAGTGTGCAATGTTAGTTGTGAAAAACAGGAAAATTTCCCATTATTTAATTCTATTTTTACTATATAGAAAAGAAATTGCCAGCAAAGCATTAGAGGCGAATTTATGATGGCAAAAGTCACATTTTAGGGTCAACATCTTGCAGATATAGTGGAATAAACAAAATTCAGTGATTAACGAGAAAAATAGCCCTAATCTCGCATTCACCTCTAACATTTCCACAATTAGAAAACCACTGGAAAGTCACAATGAAGGGTATCTTGTGCCTGGAACGTCTCCTAATCACTCATTTGCATAGTCTTTTTTGCCAACAAAAAACCACACAAAACTGTAGAGATTGCAAATGACTTGAATTGACGTCATGTTTTTGCAGCACTTCTATTGATTCTCAAGAAGATACAAAACGCGTTCTGCCTTTTCGCATCGCACAAATGTTTATGAATGTTTTGAGGGGCATTTTTGTTCATTGATTGAATTTTCCAGGCATTGATGCCGCCTTGGCGATTCTCTCTCTATTGACTCCGTCGTGGAAATTTTACAACCAAATGATAATGTGTAATTGATATTGGCTGTGGAGAGTGAACGAAACATTTCCATTGCAAGAGTCTTAAGTTTTGTGATGCAAATAATGTGGTCTTGACTTCACAATGAAGAGTGTAAAGTTCATTTTTCCACACACCATCGAGAAATTGTGAGCATCTTGATTAACACATCGTGTTTCTTTTTCACCTGATATTTTCAGGCGAAAACAACCGAAAGAGGATGATTTTATTGAGACTTATTGCGGCAAATCCTCATCAGCTTCTTTTGGGATTAGCGCCAAAAGTAAAATGTAGGAGAGGGAAAAGATTTGGTTAACTGAATACTTCGTAGGCGGATGAATGTAATTTCTTCTGAGGTTTTTCCCTCTCTCTCTCACGCCAACATCACTGATGGTATTTGGCTGTCTTTTATGCGGAGGAGGCCACAATGAATGGGTGTTTTGGAGGAGATACAAGCCACAGACAAATAGAGTGGTAAAAAGAATGAATGGCTTTTTGGCCTCTAAACATCACGTCTCTACCGTTGGTAGTAAATTCCACACTCGCACACACCCAGAGAAAAAAAGTCCATTAGTTTACTATGGAGAAACGTCAGCGATTTGGAATTCAGAGTATTTCAATCTCCTCAGAATTGCAGCACCATAAATTTTTCACCGCATATAAAATGAAAACCATGCAATGGAACAATGAATGTCTAGACAGTGCAAGGTTCATCTCGTGGACGTGGTATTAAATTATATCAATCAGTCCCTTTATCCGCTTCTCTTTCTCTCTCGTTCACTGTAACTTTATCTTGTCCACACTCGGTTTGTTCATTAGACCAATTCATCCCAAAGAATTCCTCAACACTGCAACTTAACTTTCTTGTTTGTTTTTGCCACTCGCGAAATGTTTCTGCGAGAAGCACATCAAATTGCGAGAATTGAAGAAAGTCTCTCTCTCTCTCTCTCTCTCTTGGTAGTGAAAATTCATTTCAACTTTGTGATGTATTGTTTCCTTTTCGGATTAGTTGGTGATGAACTTTATGCCTCGCACGAAAACTCAATTAAAAGTCATAAGAAGCATTGCTGAATTCAATAAGATTTAACTTATTTTCTTAGGGATTTGCATTGTGTGTTCGAAATTTTACTCCTTAATTCGACAATTCAGTAGTTCGAAAAGATTCTGTCATCTTTCAACCATCCTATAAAGTTTTACCATTTCCTAGAGATTCAATTAATAATGTCACTAGGACAGTGATTCCATAAAAGTTTCTCTAAATTTAGTTCTAAAATCTTTCGGCTATGACTTTTGAATCTATTCTTCAATTGACGTAATCTTTTTTACTCACTCAAATGCGAGACATTTCCGAGATTTTCATTTTTTATCATAACAATCAACTGAACGATGAAAACCATTCAAAGAGTCAAAAAGACTTGATTGCGAGCTTAATATGGAACATCGGCTGCAAAAGACTTACCCAATGAGTGCGTATCGGGATCTCCCACGTAAACTCTATACAGAATCTGATAGGAATCAGTGCTTTGACGCCTGGAGAGCTTGTAAGCTGGCGTCGAGCGTGTGATGGAGATTAGGGATTTCAGGAGAATGGCCATTCGGTTGTACACAGTGTAGGAGGCACGCTGAGTGGGATCACATCGGTCAGAAGCAAGTCCCAGATACCAAACCTCCAGCACCATTGAATCCCCCTCAATTGTCCTCAAGCTGATCTCCACACACAGTGGCAATCGACTGAGAATGGACTCGCCAGAGACCAGATTGAGAGCCCTCTTCGTCTCCTCCGCCACATCCTGATAGTCCTCAATTGATATGTTAAACTGCAAGCAACAAACAAACGATTTATGTAAATCAATGTTTATATTTTTCTACGAAAAGTCTTGGATTTTTCCTAAAGTGAAGGGCATTTAGTGGTGGAATAACTGAAAGCATTAGTGGAAACAACCAGCGCTTTGGAGAAACACACTTGAGTGATTTACAGCATCGTGACGGGGATTTTCCTGAAGAGAAAACCACTCTTAACCAGTTTCCTCAATATTGACTTGTTTATTTGCACTTTGCCAATAAAAACGCTGTGCACTTTTCAACATTGTAATGCTCTCGTCTCACCCCTTCTCTCTCCGCCCCAACTCATCTCCTTCTCCTCCTCTTCAAGTGATGATTTTCGATTTTCCACCTCCTCTCCTGGCTTCCCCATCCTCTATGCCACTTCGAGGACAGTCGAGAGCGCGATGCACAATAAGCTACAGTCTCACGTTTTTCCAAACAAACTCATTCACTCCTGGGCACGTTGACAGTACAATAGCGCCACTTTTCTTATCAATTTTCATCTGGAATTTCCCCTTCCTGTTTGACAACGCCTCATCGGGTCTATTTTCACCCATTCAAACGCACTACGAGGCACAAATTAAGGGTATTTTTAGCCATAGACACTCTCTCTCCTTCTCTAACCTCCACCTAGATTGCTTAAACACTCGAGAGGCGCCAATCACAAACACGACACAATTTGAGACAATATTCCCCAGTTATTCACATGCCAATATGCAAAATTAAGGGTAATTGATAATCGTTCTTCGAAGGAATATATTAAAATTACAGAGAATTACTCACTAAAGTGCTATTTCAACTGACATTACTATAAATCATCATGATGGAAATTTAGTTCCATCTCTTATCATTTAATTGTTTTGGAAATCCCAAGAAATATTCAATATGGATCCATAATTTCAATGCTTTCTTTGAATTTATTCATGACTCACAGAATATATGAATTGGAGCTGAAGAATGGGTGAATATACTTGTGTAAAGTGATGTAAATGCACTAAATCAATTAATTGTGCTCCTGAAACAATCTGCAGACTTTTCAAGTGTCTCCCTATGTAAAAGTGTAATTGAGAAATACTTGAGAAAAGTGTTTTTTCTCTCTCTCTCTCTCGCTTTTATCGTAAAACCACCACTTATTCCACCGTATAAGGAAACGTGAAAACTTTTACTTTTCCCACAAATTCCACTTTAAAAGTTGCTCACTTGAGAAATAAATCCCCGAAAAAAACACAACGCTTGAAGAGGAGTTTGAGATGGGGAAATATCATTGAAAATTAGTGGGTAGTAAAAGAAAATTTTTTTTTCTATAGCGCTCACAAGTTTCAGACGCAAAAAATGGTAATAGGTGAAAATGAGAAAATTTACGCGAAATGTATGATTCCTTGAAAAGTTGCTCTTCAACTTTGGACTTTCATTTGCGATTCTGGAAATAACGTATAGAGGAAGTCATAATATAAATGAATTATATTGTTGAGAGTGGAACAAAGAAAATTTCAAGAGAAAGAAATGCACACACAGGCTGTGACATTGAGATGGAAGATTTTTCATCTGAATCACATTTATTACATTTTTCTTCATCGCGGAAATTTTCATGCAAATTATTCAACTGAGCAAAGTCAGAGAATTCTAATATGAATCAATAGATTGTGATCAAAGTTCTGCGCTTTTTGATGTCTGGTAATTGTTTCAAATATTAAATTAGCTATTCTTGTCAAGTGTTGAATTGACATAAAATTAATTTGAGTGCTGATTAATCGATATCCTCCTCGTCACACACACAATTCAATCAATTGTCCTGATACCAAGGCCCAATTTTTTCTTCTCATTCTCTCTCTGTCTCTCCCTCACATGTCTTGCCCAGGTGAAGCCCCAATGGCAAAAAACATGCTCCCGTGTGGAAAATCAATAAAATTACCCTTACTAGGCAGAAAAGAAAGGCATTCCTCGGAGGAATCCTCCCTTTCCTCATTGAATTATTGGCAATTTTCGTGGCACTTGGGAGTGATCTTGAGATTTCATTTTGAGGGACGACTAGCGAAGATATACACACACACTCCATGGGTGGAAAATGTCGAATGACTCCCGAGTAAACACGCAAAGTATCCTTATACGTGCCATAGACGCACACTCACTGCAATTTAATTACACCCACACGGCGCTTTGTTATTGGATTGTAAACCAATTTACTGCCATCTCATTGCAATTCTTCCTGTCACATATGAAACACAGTATCACTCCCGCTTCAACTTTAAATTCATATCTTTAAGATAAAATGACAATTTCGTATTTACAGATTATGATAGCTTTATAATGTAAATGATTAGTTTATTTGAATTTCTGAATAATTCAATAATTTCTTGATTTTTCATGGCTTTTATTTAAATTTTGATTTTTTTCCACATATTACCGCTAGAGGGCAGCAATTTAAAGGCATGTAGAAGTTACGATTGTATTTTCTAAACCAATCTATACCACAATTTTAACTGGAGTTTAAACGCCTCTAAATAATATATTAATCACTATAAATCCGGAAACTAAAATTTGTAAAGTAAATAAAGAAGAAAGAAGCTTTTATTCTTCTTTAAAGTCATTCTTTTGGATGATTCTGGATTAGAAAATGGACGCCGCTATTCCTATTGCATGTACTGTAACTGGAGGTGTTTTTATTGTCAGGCAAAAGAAGCTACCAAATATAACGTAATAAAAGTGGAATGAAGGTGAGAGTGGAAAAGTGTCGAATGTTGTTTGGCATCTCCTCTACATATGTATGGCGTTTGCATTTGAGGAAAAAAGTGCGTCATATTTGAAAGATGTTGAGTGACTTTACTTGAAGAAAATTGAAAGAGAAAGTCGCGCGAAGGTGGATTGAGAGTGAAAATATATGCAAAGATAAATTTTTATCCTATCATATATTTATTTACCCGCACGATTGAGAAGAAACTGTGTCTCGAGGGTGAAATTGGCCCATTCCGAGTAGATTTTCTCTCTTTCCTTGACCTCCAATTCAATGGAAAGTCATTTGCGTGAAAAATGTGTTGGGGGTGAAATTCCATCAGACAACAGATAAGGAGAGATAATAACACTATCGCGAGAGGCTTTCAAGGGAGGTGTGTCCATGTTAGATATCTTATCTGACTTTTGAATAAATTAGCGAAAGTATGAATTTAAAATTAGATGTCAAAACTTTTCTCTATCAACGCTTTTTCCTCAAATCTCTGTGTGCAATGGAAAAATTTTTCGATGTAATTTTAGCGTGAAACAAAACGGAGAAGTCATTAAAAATGAGATAATTTTTTCCCATTGACTATTTCTCATCTCTTTCTCCCCAACAATTTCCAAATAATTACAGCACCATATTGCAAAACTAATTAGTTCAATGTCTCGAAGTCAAGCTTCTCTTCTCACTTGGCTGGCAAGAAACTTTTCATTTATTTACTCGAAACTTCCTGTTGCCATTTTTTCATGTTATGTGGTGCACATATGCTGCTGAAGAGATTTCTTAATTGACTACTTTTCCACTATTTGACTCGCTCGTTCTTCGCAATTTTCTCCTTCACATCTTGGCAAAATCTCGCAGAGTTCTTTCACTCCTTCTTTTGCCACATTACATTTTACTTTATTATTCCACTGTTTTACATACAAAAATCCGCCCAAAGGCAGAAAATCACCAGTGATGAAACAAACCCACATAAAATGAACTGACAGATGAAAATAAAATGTGGAGATTTTCAATGAATAATCTCCACATAATTTCCCCACAGCGCAATTTTTAGGATTCTTTTTGACAGAAGAGAAAAGAAAAAGTTCACGTCTTTAATCCTTCGCCCATTTCAACTGAAGCACACACTGTGGCATAAATATACTTTAGCAACTCTCCTCCAAAGTACAACTTGGATACCGTGTAACAAATTTTCAGCAATTGAAAGAAAAAAAGGAGAAAAAATATCCTAAGAAAGATACATTCTTCCCCATTCATTTTATTTCATGCTGACGAGAGTGAAGAAGACTTTGGGCGAAGCTGAAAAATAATAAAAGTTTCTAAAATACAATATTTCTTTCCATAAGAGCAGAAACTTCTCGACAATCTTTCCTCTCTTTTTCTCTTCATTCTCAGTTCACACGAGATGTTTTTTTTTATTACATTTGTCTTCCATACAATTTCTCATCATCATAAATATCAATATCAAAAATATATTCCTTCACACAACACCAATTTTGACATATTTCCCAATTATATTTTCGCTCAAACAAATCTCATTAAATGCTCGTTTCTCATTATAGTTTTCAATACAACTGCGACTTTGCGTCCTTGTCCGCGCCGGACAAGTTTTATATGTATGAGATCATTAATGAATTTGTCGCTATTGAGCACATTTCGTCAGTCATGCATTCAAATCTAGACCACTTTTGAATAAAGTTTTATGTCTCAAGGAGATGCGCAAACTTCAACTCAACATTGCTCTCTTAATATTTGTGCCTCAGCCTACAAAACTACCCCTGAATTATTATAATACGACACTGCAAAATGCCATAAAACCCACTGAGCCTCCACAAACTCTCGCTTTACATTCGCAAAAAGTACCTTCAAGGCAATTAATCCGCGTGAGCACTTCTGCAGTGTGGCTTTCAATCCCACCGCGATTGCGAAACGTCTTCAGCCAGCATCTGTGGTGTTTCTCACCTGCATTTCGGTGTCAAAATAAATTCGAATGCAGCACGGAAAATGCGTGATGGCTTTCCCACTGCGACAATCATAGCTAAAAGTCATTAGCATTAATTAATTCGTTGTGCTGTTTGTTTTATAAGCCACGTGAAAAGAAAGCCACTTAGGTTGTTGTTTTTTTGGGAGAAAAGCCCACAATTGTAGCTCTCAAGGAAGTCTTTGGCAATAACCATTGCCCTTCATCTAAACATGCTGGCGCAGTTTTTCTCTCTCTCTCTCTCTCTCTTTCTACTCTGCATTTTTTCCACATTGTGCAATGAGGCCTCTTTTTGTGCGTGATTTTGCGTGAAGTAATGCTTTTATCTGAGTGCTTTGGTGCCCCCTTTTTATATATGAATCAATATTACTGCAATAAAATGTGGGCTGAGAGCCTTGTCAATAAAGCTATTCACGAGAATAATCCCACAGATATTTCACTTGCAATTTACTCTCATTTCCTCCAGCATGTTGATTTTGATAGTCTTATCTTGCACTGACACTCGAGGTTCAATTGAATTTCATTGGATGATCGAGAGTTTTTAAAAATATCGCGATATTCGCTGCGATTCTCAGAAATTGAACTTACAAAACTGTCTTTGAATTTTAGGGAGAATGCAAAACTTAAAAGAAAATGGATTTTTAGATCTATGTTAATGAAACAGAGTCATGAGTTTAAATCTCGTATTTTCCTGTTTTTTCTCTCTCTTATTGCAGTGTCGCTAATCACAGGTTTTCTTAGGTCAGTTCTCTGCACAACGTGAGCTTCAATAAAACCCACTCGCGGGAATCCATTACTGCAAAATTGATTTGATAACCCAGTAAAAGTGTCTAAATAATGCATTCTTCTATATATTCCGGCCCATTAACACCGTGAGAGGCGCACATCATGCAAAAGAGTCGTTGACACGAATTGTCTGGACCCTTTTTCGTGCCAACGAAGAAAGGGTTGTATAAGGTGATTTACAATTCTATTAGCATTCTCCCGAATAAACATTGAGACACTCAACGTCGTCATCAAACTCCTCCAAGGCTTTCACTCCAAAGCATTTAAGACCAACGCCAATATACCATCTCTTTATGACAAGCATAAAACATCAATGCAAAATTTATTTAAAAGTTAGCAAACATTTGCACAGTCCATCGAGTTATTCTTGTTCGTCTCTTCTCAGGCATGATTGCGCGCTAAAAGGCAACAAAAGGCCTCCCATATTGGCTAATTTGTGGGTTTCCCTCAAATATATCCCGTCATTTTAGGTAATAAGCCACCTAAAAATATGAATCCCGCGTGGTTTTGTTGTGAAACCCACTCGAAAGCTCTATACGAATGAAAGAATTGGCGTTTTGAGACAGTGAAATTCATTGTGATTGAGACAACAGATTCGAGACCGTGATTGCTACTATTGTAATAGTTGAGAGTTCGTGGCGAGAGAGAAAGAAGTTTGGGAAGAGCTGCGATTTCCGTTCTCTAGCAACAGAGCATAAACATAATGGTAAATGAACGACTGAGGCGAAGGCGGGTGGAAGTGTATCAATGAAAAAAAAGACACGTAATATTTGTTGGAATGAAAAGGGAGTACAAAATACTCCGCGATGAACTTGAGTTACAGTTAAAATACATTCTAAGGCACACGCCTTGCGGCCATCCAACCCAAGAGCGCAAGAGAGGTGCGATTATCCACTTGGAATTGCACAGAGAACATCAATTCCAAGTGTGTGAGTTTGTGCGGGGATATTTTAACGATGAATATCTCGCCGTCTCTGGCGGGATTTGCCCCAATAAATTATCAATATCCCGTGGGGAAAAGGTGTAACTGAGCATCTGCACAATATAATGTTGAATGAATTTCTTCCCCTGAGGAATTTCAAAATATCCTTCCCATCACTTTTCACCTCCCATTTCTAACTGTGTATTGGGCGCCACATGATATAGAGGCCGCCACTGTTCCCGGAATGTTCCACGCGTCGGGCGTTTTCATGGTGACCCCATAGCGGCCACCCCGACGCCCCCGTGTCGCAATTCAGCTATAAATATCACTCACCCAATCACTGTTTGACGACTGTAATTTCCCGTGAGTTTGGATTTTCTCGCCAAGGCGCGACTGAACAATAATTTGGGGGCACTTCATTGCCATGCCCTTTATGAACTTCTCCAGCTCCTTTTTGTCCTGCATCACTGCACACTGGGCCCCCTTGGAGGCACTTTTCACAAGTTTTTGGGGTGAGAAACACAGATATTTTGGGGAAAAACAACCAAAATCTGCACGGAAAAACACTTCTTTTCTTCCTTCGCCAGCAAGACTGTGACAGTCGATGTCGATTCGATGGGTGTGAGATGGGAAATTTCCCCAGTCGATGGCTTTTGAAGGGCGAACAGTCGTTGAATTAGCCTACATTCCGGCACTTGCAAATGGAATGGATTTTTCTCTATCTAAAAAAACTCATTACCAAGCAATTGATTATAATTGAAATAAATTGCATTTCTTTCAATTATATGTATTCAAATAATTTTTGATATTTATTACTTTTATTGCGTGAAAGCTTTAGTGCTTGATCTTCTGGATTGTGTCTTGGAGACGTGCTTCTGGCCAAGAAAGCCAAAGAAATTCGACGAGATGAGCGAAAGATGATCGTTTTTCTCAGCCAAAGAATCAGTTTGTGATCAACACTCGAGGCGTTCGGAAGGAAACTCAAGATTTTCCGTGAATTTTCTAGATCAAAGAGTGGAAAGAGAGAAATGTGGTGAAGAGAAGGATTTTTCAGAGAGTGCTTAAGAAAGTGGAGAAAAATAGAGAGTGACAAAATGTGGATTAATCGTGCTAAGGACTTTCTATGGATTATTTTGCTTATTTCAACCACACGTAAGTTAACTTTATTATTATTAAATTTACCGCAGATCCATTATAATAATATTCCAGCAAAATCAATCACAGAGAAACTTAACATGAGCTAAGCAAAGCGGAGTCTTATAAATATCCTTTTGTGTCCCGATTTTTCTCAATTGTAAATGTTTCCGGGAATTTGTATTTTCGCGACTCTTAGGGCGGAATTGTGAAAGCAATTTGCAAAAAAGCAGGGTAAATATCTTTTGCGTCTCCTGACAGAATTCTCAGGCTCTTTCCTAGTCTCAGAAGCACTCATCCTTTTGCCCTCCCTTTCTTCTTCCTGTTTCTCCCGAGGCGTGCTGCGAAAAAGAGCAATAAACATCGGAAATATCAGTGAATTCGTGCAATTGTTTTCATAGGGGAGATGAGAGCTGAAATGGCTTTTGTAGCGACACTCATGCGGCTTTTGTACGTGTTGGCAAAGGCTTGTGAACAAAGGCTGTATTTTGTTGCCGCTCTGGCCATTGTCCGGCGCGCTTTTCGCGATCGCGAAACTCCATCTGCAACTTTTCCGCCGGCAGTGCCGATAAAGTGGCGATGAAGCACGCAAAAAGCCTATTGGGAGGGTTTTTGTGGCACCCAGATTGCCGGGAAATAATAAACAATTAACGCAGCATTGCTTTGGACGGTGGAGCTTTAATGTGAATAACACCGCGATTTAAGAGGTACGATATGTAAGTTTAGTCTTTTTAAATGAAGCTTTCATTTGTCAGATATTAAACCGGGAAAATTTCGCAATTTTCCGTGCAATGGCTAGAGTAATAAAATGAATTTTCTCTCTGAACTATTTCATTTAGAAAATGGAATGAGCACCGCAAATTAAATGAGGCGAAGCTTTCGCTCCTAAACTTTTTCCGTGCCACTCGAATTGCGTGCAAATGCAGCTGCTCTAAAATTTAATAATGTGCAAATTGATAGACATTGCAGCGGGGAAATTATCAACAAATGGCGAGAGTGCATAAAAATGTGCTGCAACAGTTGCCAGTGCGACATTTCGGTCGAGCTTTTAATTACTCTCCTGCGTCGGTGGTAAATTTTTCGGCATGGTGAAAATGGAGTGTTGGATACCTTTTTGCCGTTTGGAATTAATATATTTAGCATCAACTGTTGGTGCGACAAGTTATGGGAGTTGTGAACAAGATATAACATGCAATTTGCATCATAATGCACACAGCAACATGTGATTAATCTAGGGAGAGTTTATGTTCCAACTGCTGGCTGTGTGCTATTTCCACAAGTGTTCGCTAAAGACACTATCGTAGAAGAACAAGTGCAGTCATTGTTGGCCACTGAGACAATTGCAAATCGCCCGAGGAAATTGAGAATTGTCGCGAGCACTTGCAAATTTTCGTGAAAATTCTGTGATTTGTTTGTCGTGTGTGTATTTTATGGGAGGCAAAATGACACATAATGCATGGGCAATTTGGATTAGTTGAACACAGTTGAACCACCCCTGATTATCCGGATTCCTGACTTGATGAGATGAGGCGTGAATGGCAGAGCATGACAATCAGCATAATTTTGCATAATTAACACATGATCAGACACAAGAAACAGCATTGTTTTATTGTCATATCAAATTCATGTCACTGACACATGGCAAATCAATTTACTATTGCACAACATGCAATATTATGCTTTTTGCCCCTCATCCTCGGGGAAAGGAGAATGTCAACGTAAAATTCCCTCTGAGACATGACTGATGGCTCTGCTTTCGGAGCTGCATGATTAGGATATGCATCAGAATCCCTCGTGGTCAGTGCGCACTTGTGGTCGCTTTGAATTTGCGCAATTCACAAAATTCCATGAATTCATATGAAAACTTTCACACACATTTCTCTTCAGAAACGTGCAATTACAATCAGTGAAAAAGTAAGTGAATTGAAAAATTTTCCAGAAAGAGATAACGACTATTTCATAGTTATTCTTATACTAAGTATCGTATGAAAACGTGTTTTTGTAAAATATAATGAATTATACCCAGTAAAAACATGTCTAAGAATTCTAGTGGAACCTTCTTTGTCTTGAGGGTTCCTGAATAAATCTGAGTTTCTGATGTATTGTCATAGGACATTCAGTATTGAAGTGATTTGAAGAATTAAATTTTTTTTCTTTTGATTCACAGGCTTCACAAGTGCACAGCATTACGACTGCGAACATCCGCCTGCCGTTGAATTCGCCACGGCCTCGCTGTCCGTGGACGAGAATGAGGACAATGTGTCTGCCAGGTACGTCTGCGAGCCTGGCTTCAAGATGATCGGCGAACAGGACATGTTCTGCGACCTGGACACAGATGAATGGCAGGGCCAACCGCCCTCCTGTCGACCAGGTGCGTTGCCCATCAGCGTCAGCATGTGGTTATTGATTACAAGTCCAGCATTTCCCCATTCCGCCCTCCTGGCATTTAATTAAATTCTACTGTGCCGCGAATCCCGCGACAATGACCACCCAAATGATGCCACTTCCGCGGACACGAGCACTTTACCCAATAAATTGGTCAGGTTAGAAAGATATACGCACACAACTCTGTTTCTCTGTCCTGAGAAAGTTTCACCCTCGTCACAGTCGATAATCCTCAATGGATTCCCATCATATTTTCCACCGTCACAAGCGAAATCGAATGACCGTAAAAGATGTTAAGAGATCAATAAAGAGGAGTCCCAAACATTAATACATCTCACACTTTTTATGTTCGGCTCTCTTCTTTGGGTGCTCAATAAAATTTTATACCTATTTTCCTGGGCGCCCAACAATTCTCTCATGGCGTGAGTTTGGAGATGAAAATGTCAAGATGATTTTCCAACGCCAGCCAAAAGGTGTGTTTTGCCCATTCATATTTATTTTTATTGTCAAGACACCATTTTCGCAAATCTTCCCACTTGAAGTCTCACGCTGGTGTGTGAAAAGTTGAAAGAAATGTTATAATCAGAATGACAGTGAAAAACACATAATAATCTCTCGCAACAAGCAATCCTTAAGTTGATGAATGGATGTGATGTTGGAGGCAGTGAGACCAGGAGGAAATTAAGAAACTAACTCTGCACTTCTCACTCAATTTCCTGTGGAGAAACCACAGAAGTTCGCCAAAAGGCCCATAAATGGTCGGATGATGAGCTGGAGTGTGTTTAAAATTGTGCCATTTGAGACATAAAACATGAAATTATTGTCATTTAACTCACCATCAGCCATAAATTCACTCCCTGCTTGATCGTCTTATGCAAATGACTTGAGGGTGGGCGGTTAAAATGCAAAAACCACGAGACGAGAGGGTGAGGAATTAGTGATATTGAGGGTGCGGCAAATGCCTGTCCACACACAGGGTTGCGGCGCCTGATATTAACTCCACAACTTGTAATTGTTTGCACACACTCGCTTCGGGTGTCTCAGGATTTTCCCGCCGAAGTGCTTTGATGTCTTATGTGTGACTTTTGGTGGCTGTGAGCGGGAAATTTTCCATGGCAATGTGGCAATTAATTTTGCATGCCCTCTTAAACACTCTTATCGTCGTCAAGCAGAAACTTGCGCTTGGAGAATTAATGTGCACTGGATGGCATTTGCGAATCATTGGGCACAAATTGTCGTTCCAGAGAAACTCTCGCTCTGTTGGTCAGTTTTTACGATTTTTGGGTGGCTTTTTCGGTGGGCGTTTTGTTCTGCATTTTTTTTCTCTCGGTGGCTTTAATTAAATCCCCAGAGATGATCAATCTCGAGTGAATTGACAGAATAAAAACACGAAAAATTTTAGTGGGTGATAAAATTTAATGCATCGCCCAGAAGATTCCCCAGAAGAGGAAAAAGTGAAGACGCATTTTCCACTGCGTGTGATTTGAGATTTATCTATTGGATTTTTTTGACTTGTGTGATTCGCCTGTTAATTCTGTTGCTCTTCTTTTTTTGCCCTCCTCACACCACTTCTATTGATTTATTGTGCCATTTTGGCGTTAAAACAAATTCTGGGTGGACACACCAACGCACATGAATCGATAAATCACCGACCAAATGACGGACTCATCCATAAATTAGTAGATGTGCCCTCAGGAGTTAAGTTTGTTGGCCAGAGCGAGAGTGCAAAGTGTGGTGTAATTCCCAAATCAATCAAATTCACTCTCCGTAATGCCCATAATAAATTAATTAATATATACCAAAATCAATAGAGTTGACCTGCGGAGAGTTGAATTGGGATCAATGTTTTTTTTCTCCGTATAAAATTTTCTCGGATGACAACGCACGAAACATGCTCTTAACGCTCTCAACAAACACCTCAATTGCCTCATATTTCACCTGACAATGTTCCCTTTACGGTTTCACCTTTTATGACACTTTTCCCGTCATCTCCGCGCGCACAAATCATGGGCGAGAAGAATTGGCTCTGAGATATGAAAAATCATAACATTGATGGAATTATTGAGTGAATTCCCGCGCGATCTTTCCAGAAGAGCCATTGTTGTGGGGCCCCTTGGCGTGGGTGGGCGATGCGAGGCGCTATAAATTAGCCACGGTGAAATTATCATTTAAATGAGGAGAGACATTTGTGGCACATGACAGTTTTTTGTTCCCTTCCAGAGAGAGCTTCACAATTTGTGGCTCAATTAGCCAACGAGATTGCACCATGAGACTATATGTTTGGAGGGTTTGCGCTCTTGAGATGAAGAGGCCCTCCTGATATGGCAGACATTTGGAAATGACTGGCAGTAATTACTTAGCAGTTCCCCCTCCCTCCCCCTTACCCAGAAACCGAAAAGCCCTTCAGGAATGGCATTTCTCAACTCTGCACTTTGCCAAATGAGCTCACCTGAGAGTGGCTCTCAGAGTTGATATTGCCGAAAAAAAGAGACGGAAAAGGGACACTTTAAATAGTGGGTGGACGTGCGCGCGATGCAATCTAGATTCTAGAATTTCATCTCTCCGTCACTCAATCGCCAATAAATAACCGAAAATGGGAGTGGGAGTCTTTTATTGATCTTCACACTCCCCTTAGATTAATTCTCTTCTTGTGGCTCCGTTGCAGCTGACGATGCCAGGGCGTCTGAGGAGTCCGGCGACCACCAGCAGCAGAGGAAGAAGCTCCGTGGCAACATCCAAGAGGAGACGGCGATCGGTGATGATTTAGCGAGTACGCTCGACCTCTCGTGCATGGGAGGTCAGGGCGCCGTGAAGCCGCCGAACATTGAGAATGCCTACGTTGTCAAGTTCAACAGGTAAGCGAGAGAGTCTCTCAATGGGTCTGATCGCGATATTTATGGGATCTTTGTCACGCTGATCAGTTGAAATTCAAAGAGAAAAGACAGGTTTGAGCATTTTCGTGTGCAGATACGTCCGGACTTAACTCAAGGGGAAGTTAATATGCCTTGAATCTGTACACCACTTTCTAATACTTTCTTAGCTTTAATTAATTTAAACAAATAACCTTGAAAATGACATAGAAAAGCAATAAAATCGATTTTTCTAGTCCAGAAATCCAGAATATGCTTTAATTTGTTGAAACTGGAGTTTTTGCAATGTAAATATTCAAACTTCCATATCCTAACACTTTTGTGAAATTGTACTCCATTCCCGATCATAATAACTGCCCCTTGACTCAATTTTACATTCGTGCCTTATTATTAGGTAATATATTTAGTTTTGTGTTGCAAGAATAAAAACAATTCAAAGAGCAAAAAATGCAGTGATTTGATCTACATATCGATGTATTTATGCAGTCTAAATTTTTATACATAGTCAGTAATACCAAGATTTCAATTTTAAACCATTTTTTTGCCTATGGGCATTTTGAGAAGATTAAATTTACTCTTATTTGTCTTCGCTTGATTAGTCTTTCTTCTTGATTTTAAAGTCATGGTATTTTTGGATATAACTGGAAAAGAGAATAAAGGATAAATTATTTCCCAAGCTGCATTGGAAATAAATGTCAGGATTCTATTCTTAAGTCTTTGCTAGTCACATTTTTCATTTACTATTTTCTGACATTTGCTAACAAAACTTCTTATTTAATTTATTTAGTAAATTTTTTATGTGATTTTCAACCACATTCCAACTGCTAATTACATTTTGTGTGGTGAAAGTGGTGCAGACGAGCACATCACACTTTGATCTCCCATGAATTCCCCCTCGAGATATTCATCTTGTCTTCTCCCACATTTCCCGAAAATCCTTTTAGTGCAGCAAAATTCCTCAATTGCTCAATGGCAGAATAGCTGCTGTGCGATGAATTGTGTCGATTGCGGAATGACCATTACACGGTCTGACGGGTTTCTTGTCTCTCCATCTGCTTGCAGACGAAGGAAGGGCGACCACGTCTTCCTGGTGGCCTTTTACGAGTGCGAAGACTACCATGAGCTGAAGAATCCTCACGTGGACAGACTGTACTGCAGTCAGCAAGCGTGGGTAGGCGACCGGCCGGAGTGTCAATACGTGGAGGACGGTGAAGAGGAAGGTAATAATTGGACATAAAAAATTGTCAATGGCAAATCAGAACAGATTTCGGCATGGCTTAAGGATGTCTCATTCATCTCTGCAATTTATTGTTCACTATCTGCGGTGAAGAGTGTGTCTCAAATGAAGCTAAATTGATGTCAACTTCTCTATGGAAGATGGTTTTTCCTGCCACTGGAATGCCGGCGGAACGAAAATAGACTCATTGAGACATTCTTAGGCAAGCAATTAACCATCCCGAGAATACGCAACAACTCTTCAGAGAGTTGGGGACAAAGTTACTCTTTTTTTCTTGCTTCTCTCTATCTCTGCAGAAGACTACGATGATGCGAGGTATGATGATGAAATTAGCCAGGAAATTGATGCTCACGAAGCCACTCATGCTGAGGGAAATGGAGCAGAAGAGGAAGAAGAGGAGTATGAGTATGAGAACGGGAGTCAGGAACTTCCTGAGTCAACTCCGGCAGTCACTGAAGAACCCACTCAAGCCCCAACTTCGGCTACTCCAACCACAGTTCATCCCACTGTGGAACCCACGACTCCTTTCGATCCCAACTGTGGCCCGGGTCATGGCGGATGCGATCACGAGTGCCGACGCGTGCAACTGGACGATCAGGAGAGTCACGTGGAGTGCTCCTGCTTCCCTGGCTATGAGCTCAACGTCCGCGACGGGCGCAGCTGTAACGGTGAGTCTTCCGCGGTGATCAATTTGTCACGTCGCGGGTGAACGCTTAAATCACGCGGCGCCCGAGATTATTTTTAGGACAACTCTGACACCCACGAAATGAGCCATCGACAGAGATGCTGGGAAACACGTCAAGCAATTAGTTCACAATATGAGATTAAATGGTGATCTCTCTCAGGATGTCGAGCACGTGTTTCACGTCTCAGGGACTCCCGATGGAGGGTTCAATTTGATCGGCCCAACACAAATATTTTGCAATCTATTGGTGGCTCCTGCATTAGGTTTTTGTTTTCCCAGAAATGTTCTGAAGTGTGGGAATTTGGGATAGAAAATTTCTTTGGAATCTATATCACACTTTCTATACGTTCAAGTGGTCTATAAATATCGTAAGTTTCATCAGCAACTATTAGAATTGGGAAAAATTGGAATATAAAGTTCAAACCGCAATAACTTTTGCCAGTTGCTGATTAAGCTGACGATGTGAAAACTTTCCATTCGGTCTATTTTTCTTAAATTTATTTCCGTTTTCCACGGGCGACAACATGAGCATCACAGCCTGCATTCTTGCCATTGAATTGAGAAAATGCCCTCAGAAGGATTATTTATTGGAAAAACACGTTTATGCTCGAGGGAGCAATTTAGTTTCCTCTGGTCGTGAGAGGAAGAAAGAGTGAAGTATTTGACGGGGAGAGAAGAATAATTGGGGATACAGAGCAATTACCCTTCGTCTTGAGGAGTCAGAGTTTACCGTAGATTAGCCACAACTGTCGGTTTCAATTACAAATCCGTCACAAGAGTTTATCGCCGCCCACGACAGTCTTGTTGAGTTGTGTCTTCACACGGAGGATGTTTTGGATGTGGGCCAGAGAGTGAGGCTGGTGAGAAAATCATGAGCGCGCGCTCTTCCCAGAATTTTTTCCGCCTATTCCTTCCGTGAAGAAAATTAGGCACGCGGCGAAAGGGGTTTATTTTCTCATGTGTTGTCATCACCCACAGCAATTCAAACATACCTTAAGAGATGTTAAGTAAACAATTCACGAGCGTATCAAGTTGAAATTGGCGTGATTCAGACCGTAAATGTCCGTGTTGACATATTTTTGGGACACATACAAACTCTCGCCTCTGGGGAAAAGAACAATTTTATTAACCCATCGCGTGGTTAGGCAATAAATTTTTCAAGTTAGAACTTTGTGTATTCCTTGGTGGAAATTTAATCATTTCCAACCGCCATCCCCTCAGCAACCACCCACCTACAATAGGCGGTGCGATGAAAAGTTGCCAAAGAGAAGTTCAGGAAGGATGTCTTCGAGTGCTGAATAGACAACAATTTATCCATCTCCAACACCCAGAAACTTTTCTCACATCATCCCGTGAGCTATATAGTTTTCCATGTGGCAAACATTAGACATGAGCTAATTTGTATATATTCGGAGAAGAGATGAGAAACATGGCAAAGCTTCTGGCAATACAAGCATTTTAGCCTGTTGACTTTTCTTCGCTCACTTTCAATTAGCAAACATGCGCCTCCCGAATCTTCGGGGGGAAAATGATTATATGCGAAACATGGAAAATTTCCATAGCTTCAGCTGCGTGTAGAGGTTTTTCCTGGATTTCGTCGCTCCCCCCCCACACCACTCCCCCCTCCTCAAAGTCGCCAAAGAAGTTTTTACCCAGGAAAAAGCCTGATGGCTGTCTTCAAGTGAGCAATATTTATTTTTCTAACATGTCACAGTCTTATTTTATTTGCGGCGACTAGACTAAAATCCTCACTGACAGTGTTTGGAAACGTGCGAAAAAGTCAATTTATAGCTCTCTGAACGCTTCTAGAAGTAATTGTCACAATATATTCGCACAAATAAATTGATAAATATGATTCTCAGAGAGACAGAGAGGCAAATTTATAATAGAAGGAATGCACAATCTCAAGAATTTAGATCAACATAAAACAACTCTCTGAGGAAAGCATTTATGAGATGAAGTGTCTTTCGTGGAGAAGAATTTCCATGGGGAATAATGAATTATATGATAAATAGGCAAACATTTTAATACCATCATAATTATACTTATGACATATGATAATAATTTTGTGCAGAAACTTTTGTACACATTTCCCTCAGTGACTCCTGAATAAGGAATGACGAAAGATTCGTTAACTCCCAAAAAACCGCCTCATTTAATCTCCCAATAAAATGCATCGCAAATTACCTTCCGCTTGTTTCCCAGGACATTAACTTTATGCCATTCTGTGCGGCAAGTAAATTACATCTGTTTATGAAATTTCCCTCAATTTGACTAGTGATTTTGGAGTAAATCACAGCTATTGTGATTGGAAAAGGAGCTTTTCACCTTCCACACTTCTCTTAATACTCCACAACATTCTCCACACATTTTTTTTTATTTTCTCATCCGCGATTTATGGCCCCAATTCCTTCCAAAATGTGTTCTCGTTCAGATCTCGAGGGTCCCCTCGGTGTATTTTAATAGACAATCTCGCAAGAAATGCGGCATTTCGTCATATTTCACGAAGAGGAAGGTGGGAAATATCGTAAATTTCGTACGATGTATCATAGGAGAAGTGTTTTAATGAGGAGTGAAATATTTTTGTGTGTATTTTCTTGCAGATATCAACGAGTGTGCCATCAGGAATGGCGGCTGTGAGCAACAGTGCCGAAATCTGGACGGATCTTATGAGTGCTTCTGCGAAGAAGGCCTCCAGATTGATCCCTCTAATGGACGATCTTGCATTGGTGAGTAAATCCTTCGCCCCTTTCGCTTCTCCCCGGCTAATTTTAGCGGCTTTTCCACACTGATGTTTACTGTGTGTGGAATGGGGAAGAGAGAGAGAGAGTCCTCTAAAAATACTCATGGAATGAACAACAGCTGCATTAGCCATTTAATTTAATTTAATTCTTCGCCTTGTGAGACTTTCTCCAGAAATATGGCACCTCAGTCCATTTTCATCACATATATTTCATCTCAGTCAATTGCCACTAAAAATGTTTTGGGAAAGGAGCGAGCAAAGGCTCTCTAGCTTGACGATCAGCCCAGCCTTCGTTGGACGCCAGCAATCATGCAGAAATTCCTATTACAATTCCACTCGCTCATTGAGTTTATTTGCGTGAATTTCAGCGCAAATGAGATGGGGATTTAATTAAATTATTCCCCATGTGATCCCTTCTATATCGCCCCTCATTTTGCCACCAACTTTGCCACCCTAATTAAGGGCATGACAAAAACAGCAAAGAAATTCCCCAGACTTGCCTCGCGGGCAAAAAAATTACAAAGTCGCCAGGAAGATGATTAGATCAGGGTTCAAGAATGTCATTTATTCTGCCAAGCATATCGCAAGTACACTCATCAATTTTTTTCTTAAATTGATGAGTCTTTAATGAAAATATTGTGTGAAGAGTTTCTGAATGGCGCTGCACAGCAAGAAATCACATAAAAGTAGAAGTTTTTTTTTCATTTTGATAGGAAATTTCTCTCTCAAACAGTGAATTAAAAGGTCACATCTTCACTCTATCATTTTCTCGTTGAATTTCCGCCTTTTTCACTCATTTTCCCACCATGCGGTGGAATGGGAAGTGAACCCCAGCCGCCCATCGACAAATCAATGACAGAGTCCTCAAAGCACGAACACCTGCATGTTATCAACTTCACCTCCGACTCAATTCCTCTTTTCAATGCTTCTGCTCTTCGTGATGAGAATTTTCCATGAAGTTTTGATGTGGCATCGGAAAATTCTCAACTGATAAAATCACCCATTTTTTCCATCCTTCCACATCTTCAAGGCACATTTCTTCAGCGTCTTTGATGGCGCGCACTGGATGTTTGCCGAAGGAGTTCCTCTTTTTTTTCCTAATCATCTTTTTAAAGGCAACCCAAATAAATTCCCCCGTTCATGGGCAAAACTCATGAGCACGGGGACAGAGGAGGAGAGATGAAAAATTCTACGTCCTAAATTAGTCCTGCTCACAAGAGTGGCCGATGGAAATTGGCAAGAATGTTCGATGTATTGATATTTCAAGCGGCTCTTCTGCGGAAATTCAATAAAAATCCACCTGAAGTATCAATTTCATATTGTTGAAGTGCCGAAACGGGGAGAATCTGTGCTGAATGATGGCGCTGAGGGGCTCTCGAGAATCTCTCGTCAGAGTCAAAAGTGAGGCGATGAGTGTTGGACAGATACAAGATTAGAGGCATCAATCATCTCATGAGGGGATTAATGAGAGGCAAAACACCCAAATGAGTTGTAATGATGACGATTTATTAATATATTTATTGACTTTTCATCTTTCTCTCGCGCCGGAAGGCTTTTTTTTACCATCGTCACAAACACTGAAGCGAAAAATTAGGATGATTTATTGTTCCTAAGTGCCAACGTTGATCAATTGGGAGAGTCTGGAAGGCTTCCAAGGCAATAAAGTGGTCAAATAATTCATCGTGGGTCAGTTTTTAGCACAAAAATTCATATTTTACCATGCGAACATGGTTTAGAAGATTAATAATTCTCTCTCTAAAGTCTGTATTTATGAAACTTTGAACACCCAAAATTCTTTTCTATAGACATTAACGAATGTTTGGATATCGAGATTGCCGGTCAGTGTCTTCATGGATGTGAAAATCTACATGGATCCTTTAAATGTCTGGAACCACCGACAACAACGACAACCGAAGGTCCTGTTGCCGTCGTTCCATCAACTGATGACCATCAGGAAGAGGCCGAAGAAGAAGAGGATCATCTGAGAGGAGATCACAGAAGGGAGGAAGATGAATACGAACCGCCAGAAGGCGAAGACGTGTATGGCGAATATGAAGAGGAGAGCAATGAAGTGGAGGAAAATCCCTGTCCAGAAGGATTCTACAGAGACTCAAATGGTGAGTGCAGGGATATCAACGAATGTGATGATCCAAACCAAGGCGGTCGGTGTCTTTACGGTTGTGTAAACATCGAAGGAAGTTATTACTGTGCAGAAATACCATTAAGCACAACTGAATCTGCTTCGGTTCCGGAAGTTTCTGAAGTGACACTTGAAGAAACCATTCCTGAGGCCTCTTCGCCCAGCCTAGATCCTTGTGGTGATGGATTCAGAAGGAATTCAGATGGATATTGCGAGGATATCGATGAGTGCCAGGAAATTACAACAGGATGTGATTATTGCAGAAATGTCCATGGCGGATTTGAGTGCTACTGTCCGCCTGGATATGCAATTCGTGAGGACGAGAAGACTTGTGAGGATATCAATGAATGTGAAATTTACGGACCTTGCGCACATTCTTGCGAAAACACTCCTGGATCCTATGTTTGCCAATGCCCAGAAGATCACCACTTAGACTACGACAGGAGAACTTGTGTTCGGGATTCTTGCGCTGATCTCGCAGAATCCTCCAAGACTCCTTGCTCTCACAGTTGTCTCGACAATGGAGATGGACATTTTGCATGCCAGTGTCCAGCAGGATTTTCGCTCGGCAGCGATCAAAAGACATGCGTTGAACGTGTCGATCCCTGCTTTGGACTCTCAGTTTGCCATCCTGGAACTTGCTTCCCAGTTGAGGATTACTCAGGAAGTCACTCCTATCGCTGTGACTGTCCGGCTGGTTACACTGAAAAGCATCAGCAATGTTTGGATATTGATGAGTGCGCCACCGGAAGTCATTCCTGCTCACACGAATGCAGAAACAAAGAGGGAGGATTTGAGTGTATCTGTCCTGCAGGCTATGAGCTAGCCGAGGATCAGGCGACGTGCTTGGATGAGGACGAATGCTCATCTGGCGCTCATCCATGCGGATACTTAAATTGTGTCAATACTCTTGGAAGCTACAAATGCACCTGTCCGGAAGGTCAAGAGCTGCACTCTGATGGCATTACCTGCACATCTGTAGATAGGTGTGCTTTAGATAACGGTGGATGTTCTCATCAATGCAACTCTCACTCCGGAGTCGTGTTCTGCTCATGTCCTGGCGGTTATGAACTGGGAAGTGATGGGAAATCTTGTCAGGATGTGGATGAGTGCGCGCAAGAGACTAGGGGAGGATGTGACATCACAAATGGAGCCTGTGTGAATATGCCAGGATCTTACAGCTGCCTTTGCCAGCCAGGTTTTCAACTTGACGCTGACAATCACACCTGCAAATCACTGAATCCCTGCGAAATCGCTGGATGCACGCAATTCTGTGATGTCAGCAAAGACGGAGAGGTTTACTGTTCCTGCCGGATGGGCTTCAAGTTGGATAAAGATAGAAAATCTTGCCTGGAGATCAGAGATTTGTGTCCGCCCATTAGAGCTCCCCAGTTCGGTGAAATGCGCTGTTCCAGATCTCGTCATCCGACGCAACTTTTCTACAAAACCCGATGCTCTATGTGGTGTCAGAAGGGATACAAACTCGATGGAGCTTCCATTCGTTCCTGTAACGGATCAGGATCGTGGGACTTTGAGGAACCTACCTGTATTCCGCACTCCTGTCCGAGACTCGCTAGACCACAATTTGGAACCATCTTCCCAACGTCTTGCATGCTTAATGGATCCGCAGCTGGCACCAGATGTCTTCTGCACTGCTTCCCTGGCTTTAAGCCAGCCGGAAAGCGATCAGCGCTTTGCGATGCCCAGCAGAATTGGGCACCAAGTCATGAACTTACCTGCGTTTCCGCTTTGGAGGCCGAAAATAGAGTGGAGATTGTCAGACCGTTTATCCGATGTCCGGAAGACATCACTGTAATCGCTCCCAGAGGACAAACTGCCTTCAATATCCGTCTGCAGAGGCCTCAAACAAATGTCGACTGGTGGAAATACGTTGATACTCATCCCGAATGGGCGAAACATCTCGAGGGAACAGTTCCGCTTGGAGTGACTGAGATTACATTCAGGTATGGACTTTGAATTGACATTTATTCCAGAGATCTAATTAGGTTTGGCTTTGCAGAGCGCGCAGTCCCAATGCAAATCTCAATGAAATCTGCCGAATGAAGGTGACTGTGAAGGAACAAGAGCCTCCAGAAGTGACTTTCTGTCCGGAAAGCTTCGTGGTGCAGCTGGATGATGGTGAGACCTCGAAGGCGGTGTTCTGGAAAGAGCCAGTCTTCACTTCCCATAGTCATTTGAAGCAAATTTACAAGTCTCGACAGCCCGGAGAGAGATTTGCCCCAGGAGTTCACTTTGTTAGTTACGTTGCGACCGACTTTGAGGGTCTTAGTTCGAAATGCAGCTTCAGGATCATGATTAAAGGTAAGATCTGTTCGATTAACAGACTTCATGTTATCTAATACTCGTGGTTTTTGTGCAAACAGAGCCAGTTTCAGAGGCCCCAAAAGCCGTTCAGTTTATTCCAGCGCAGAAACCGTCGAAGCTCTTGGACAATCATGAGTCTTTCCTGGTGTGTCCGGGAAAGGCCGCGGTGAGAATTGATACGAACTACCCTGTAAGTAGAATTCGCCTCTTTTACCACCATCTTCGACATCATTCCAAAAGTGCTCAAGATCCACCGAAACATTTCATTGACATTTATCACTGGCTTTTGCGATAATGCGTGAGCTTTGTGAGCTTCAGCCGCCGAAGACTTCTCATCATCTCTCACAAATTAATAATAATCTTTGCATTTTCTCACCGCGCATATAAAACAAAGTGTTTTTGGTAAGTTTTTCTCTCTGTGTTATTTGTGTATACCATGATAAATTGTTTCAAGAATTCCTCAAAGTATTCTGCAGTTTTACATCCTTCACTTTTTCGACCATCTTCTGTGCATGGCTGGGTTGTCTGGAAAGTTTTGTGGAGTTTTCATGAATTTTCCATCACACAATTGACTGTTTAATACGCTTTCTCTCTGATTTACACAATTGTATCTGCCAGAGATTTCATTCTGGACAACATACGCATTCGGATCATTCATGATTTTCCACTTGTGTTGCTTTTAAGCTCCGGACTATTCATGGCGAATTATTTAGTTTCGCGTGACTGTATTGAAATTTTCCGCTTGAAAACTTTTCATGCTGCGTTGTTTGCTGGAAAAATTCACACTGTGAGGCATTTATCACGTAGTTTTGCCTCTGCTGGAAATCTCTTTGTTTAATTTGGAGCACATATTTTTTCGAATGTGTGCAAAAAAATCATGCACGCTTTGTGGTAAGCTTTGCAGAATGGATGATAAAAAACATACTTGGAATTGTCGCAAGAGGTTCACAGGCAGCGTTACAATGATGTCTTAACGCCCAGCTTTCCTCAGCTTCATAGTACATTGGTTCGTCACGGATCATCATCAGCTTTGTGTGCTCATTTCACGTCACTCCGTCACAATCGCGTGATCGTGATCGCCAAATCTGCGGCCCCGATCACGTGCATAACGATCGATTACCACTTTCCCGTCCATCAGCTGCACTTGCCGCCCGGCTGCTATGTGAAGAACATCCTCATCCACTACAATGTAATCCGGAGGCCTCAGGAGCAGCAGCAGCATCAGCAGCAGGCGACCCATCAGAGGCCCTTCGCCCAGGGCCAGTTCCCGCTGTGGCCCCATCAAAACGCAAGTGAGTAGATTTTGTCCAAAAAGGTATGACTTTTATTACTTCTCTCGTGACAATTCTTACAATCAAGGGAACGTCTTCTTTCACATCCTTTAAACTTGAGCAATATGCAGCCAGTAATTTCCACAAAATCCTTCAGCTACTCGTGCGAAATCTCCTCACGGAGGTAGAAGGATTAATCCTTAATTAAGTTAAACCGCGCGCGCGATGCAAGAGTTGCGAAAACAGGGCTCTTCAATATTTTATTGTCCTTTCAAGAGCGCCCCGAAAAGTTTTCGCGGGCGTGGCGCAGCGAGAAGCACATCCACTGGCAAAAGCTCTCGTAGTTGGTCCGAAGTGAAAAATCTGCATTTTACACAATTACCGAAGATCTTAAATTTTAATTACTTAATCGGTTGGCAAGTTTTCGCGCGAAAGTTTCTGGGCGCGCGCGAGTGTGAGAAAAAGTTCTCCGGCACAGGAAGCTTTTTGGGCAGGGGGAGAAAAAGAGGGTGGAAAAGAAAGTCAGGGAGATTCAACAATGCAGCGACACTCGCTGAATAACAATTGTCGGGCAACTTGTAACGCTGAGTGGGTGGTACAAGTGTTTGGCCGAAACTTTCCTCCAGCTCTTGCATCTCTTGGGGGATTAGTGAGAAATTAGGGGTTGGGGTGAGGCTACTCAGCCTGAGATAGTGACCCATTGCCTCTCGGGAGCTTAGATGGCAAATGCGCGCAAGTTTCCTTTCTGCATCTTTCAACTTTTCAGCTGTACATTCTTTCCAAACCTTCCCTTTCAGGTCCTCTGCGGCACTACCATCGCTGGGGCTTCCCGCGCTTCGAGCGGGGCAGATGGGTGTGAAGGGCGTGAGGAATTAAGGAGACTTCTTGCAACACTTCTACCTCCAAGGGTTCTTCTTCCCAAATCGATAATTGCATTTTAACAGACTAATTTAACTTGTTGAAGTACTCGCACACACACTATAGCCTCTGCTAATCCTAAAATTGATATATCATATTTTTACGACTATCTTACTCGCGAGTTCTTAGCCGGTGACATCGTATCTAATCGCCTATACTTATGGATTTTCTTTTTTTTTCTTTTTGAGAAATGGGGGAAAAGGATAAACACACTCAACTCCCTCCCAATCTCTCCGCCCCTCAACCATGTGAAAGAAGGGATGATTGTGAATAAAGTTACTAATGAATGACAGAGATTTTTTTGTACATGTTCGGAATTTTGGGGGAAATCTTGATCTATCACACTTTGGCGCAACTCTCAATACAGCTCGTGGTATTTTGGCAGCTGCTGCCTAACAAATTGCTCCTGCAAGCGCCTCATGGAGCTCACAATGAGGATCTTGAAGCTGCACTTTGTGCTCCAGCCCGCCTCATCTCTGGCCGTGTAAGTCACCAGATGACTGCCGACGCCAAATAAATTACCAGGAGCCTGCAAAGATAACCCGTAAACCATGCAATTTTCATGAAAAAGGACATCTAATTCTAATTATTCTGTAACTTTGGAAAATTTATCGATTGCTTTTGCAAACATTTAAGCCCCAAGAGTTGGGCTTTCGGGGTGAATTAGTCACACTGGACTGTGCAATTAATTACGGACGGAGAGGGTGCGAGGTTGGCCCCTGGGGGTTCACTTACATTTGTCCTCGTGACATCTGACACGTTGATGTTGTCCGTGAAGGAGGGCTCAGGCCATGTGACTGCGATGCTGCTCGAGTTGTCGTCCAACGTGTGCCTCTGGGCGGCCGGACAGAATGTCACGGAGGGCGGTTGGCCGTCTGCAAGGATTTGGCGAGTCAAAGGATGGCGCTCTCATTTCCGCTTAGCGGCAGCCGGAAGTGAACGCTCTATGCATCACTTAATTCAATTTGTGGCGAAACTCACCCAGAACTATGATGGAAAAAGCGCAGGACACGGAGATGCGGGAGATGGGATGCCTGGCGATGTATGTGACATTGAGGTCACCTGGCTGCAAATGTAGCTGACCGCTCTGGGCCAGAACCCAGCTCGGTAGGCTCTCCACAATAGCAGAATCCGTCCGCGGACTCACCTCGACGGTTACAGAGTCTTCGCCGGGCGGAATCTCCAATCTGATGTCCGGCGGACACGTGAGATGAGGTGTTGGATACTCTGCAAAGACAGCACTCTGTCTTACTCCGTATCACTCGTGGGCCGTCTTTACTTTAGACAATTAAAGCTGCTGGATGAGGCTTGTCTTGCAAAATTCTTATTTTCATATTTTAAATTTCTTTCAATGCGTTGCGAACGTTGCAAATTCATTCAATGATTTAAATATGGATTGATTCAACAGTCCAAACTCTGTTATTCATACTGAATTTTCAATCATTCAACAAACTATAATTGCCTAATATTGTAGTGAATTCGCGAATATCAGTTGCTGGAATTTCGTGTTAAAAAAATTTATCAATCCAGTTGAAATAGTTTCATTTATGGTCTGCATTCATGGCTGACGGTTCATTGATTAACTATTCAATTATTTATCAAATCCATGATTTTTCGCGATAAAATTAACCCAATGAATTTGGTATGTTAATGTAAGGCATGAGTGAACTTACTGATGCAAACGCCATCCTGCTGTCCTCGCCACTGTCCTTGCGTGTCGCATTGCACGGAAAAGCTCCCAGAGAGGCGGAATCCTCCTGGGCAGCGCAGCTCGCAGAGGCTTCCTGGTGAGTTTGACACCCTGGCCGCCTCCCGGACGTGTTGTTGCTCCCGATCGCTGCCCTCGCGGCTACACTCGAGATACCCGTGACGGGGTGGGAACAGTGGCGGACAAATGACATTCAGAGATGCATTTCCACTCACATCGAGAGCTGCAGGGCATTCATGCAAAATTCATGTGAGTGACCATTCTGAATAAGCACAAACTCGCTGTATTAATTGCCCAACTGCCCTGGACAACGACAAAATGGAAATTCGCGTGGAAATGAGCACATTTTTCCGGTTTTTTTGCTCGTGTATTCCGAAATTTGCAGTTAAAATGCTTCAGGGGAATTTCTGTAGATGCTTTTTCGTCTATACTGTTTGGAGTTGGTGAAAATAGTGGGTTTTTATTGCATCACGCCTTCATAGTCCATCGAAGAAGCCAAACAATGGTTGGAAATGTGACCTCAGAAATTCCAATTAATTCTTAGCCTTCCACACTATATGAGTCCAATAAATTCCCTTTTGGGAAAATGTGGCTTCCAAGACGATTGATCAAGTGAAATTGAAATTTAAGGAATGTCAATAATTCTCCTTCTCAGGATGAATTGCAACACTGTGTTGGCAAACTTTCTCGCCCCGGCAAAACTGAAGGAGCGGGAAAAAATGCCGGGAAGGGAAGATCCTCAACGCACTCTTTGGAAAGTTTTAATGAAATAAATTTTCGGGGTGTGTGGAATTAAACTAATTTTGCAATTATGAGGAAAAGGTGGGAACCGAAACACGTGAGAAAGTTTCTTCACCACAGAGAATTAGTGCAGAAAATTCCCTGGGCTTTTATTACATCCGAAGGAATGTGGCAGAGTTAATTGAAAATGATACAAGAGAGGCTCCCAAATGGATTGTTGGGTAAGTGAGAATGTTAATTATCAAATTGCAATTACTTAATAAATTTGTGTATTTCAATTCACTGGACGTACACAAATCAATTACGGTTTGATTGAAAAAACCCTCTCAAATTAATTATTATTAAATTAATAAAATTCAATTACATTAACACTTGCGAGCCATGCTTTTTCAGTGCTGGCAATATGAGTGGACAACTTGTTTAAATGGCACTTTTTGCACACAATTCCTCACCTCTGCATGTGATTTTGTCGTCGGTGAAAATAAAGTTGGAGTGACAAGAGCAGTGGAAGCTTCCCATTGTGTTGCTGCATTTTTGATGGCAACCCCCATTGTCGTCCTGGCATTCGTCAACGTCTGCAAAAAGGGAGAAAAAGCTCGTTATAAAAGCTTGAACATTTTTCTCGATGGAGGATTTATGCTGAGAATTGCAGACACTTTCCTAAAAATCTATAAAACTCAGTTATATTGTTATACACTTCACTTTCACACTTGGCATAAATCATTTTTTATTCATTGGGACATTTGACAAATAAATCGTGCACTAAAACACAATAAATCAACTGTTGAATTTGGCCAAGTGTCGTTGAGTGAGTGTTTTACAGCTTGGCGGAGTTTATATTAAATAATTCCCTCCTATAAATCCCTTTCCTCTTTACATATATATTGGATAGCCACGGCCTGTAATGTTTTACTTCAATTTTCCAAATTGACAATTTTTGGTTGGACGAGGAAATCCATTCGGATTATGCGGATTAAACGAAAACATCACAAATGCTTGTTGATATTTCATTATCCGGAAAACACCTCTAAATATTGATATTTGCCCATTTTCGTTTTTCCCGTGCGATTGAAGTTTCACAAGTGAGAGAGAGAGAGATAGAGAGAGATGGATAATCTTTGTGCTTTCCGGTGTATTTCCACAATGAGAGATATTTGAAATGCACACAATTCACCCGAAAGACAGAAAGGATTTTGTGTTGTATTTTGGATGTACGAAGTTTTCCATTGTAAACGCCTGAAGATGCCTCAAAACACGCTAAAATACAATATCCTGGCAAATCTGTAGTCTGAGATAATTTGGCAGATGCTGAAAATAAAGTTAAGGTTCTATGCATACGCGCGCTGTTAGTTAATTTTGCACATTTAATCGAGGAGCGCTAAATGGATTCCTAAAGCGCAGTTTTATTCTATCCTCCCAGCACAGGCTGGGATTACTTCGCATCTGCCATAATCCTGGGATTTTAGCATGTTTGGCAGGAATTTTCTGACATATTGCCGAGCTCACTGCTGAAATGCACCAACAATTGAGTGCAGAATATTCATCTCGCTTGATATTTTAACGAGAACTTCAGCAGTTTGAGTAGTTTTTATTCCAGCATTCAATCGGGAAAATATTCTCGTGAAAATTGAGTGAACTCTCTTTATAATATAACAACAAAAAAAGTGTGTAACTAAAGTCATTAAAAAGTTCAAAGTGGAAACTAATGGTAAACAACACTCTGGAAATTATTCCGTGGGTGATTTTTCAGGGGTTCATCATTGCGAGAAATTCACTCACCTTCGCATTCTCGCGTGGCTGAATTGAAGGTGAAGCCAATTGGGCAGGTTGTTAGTAAGATTTGAGTTTCTTCTGGAGGTTCATCATCGATGCATTTGTATCCACCGGGCGTGTTGACGCACTCGAAAGCGCACAATCTTCCATCTTCAGCTGCTTCTTCGCACTCATTCACATCCTGACATGTTCGCCCATCTTGTCCAAGTCGCCATCCATCCGGACAGTCACAAAATGCCGTTCCTGTTCATCCCCGCGAGAAGATACACAAGTCAATCATGGGATGACAGAGTGAGCCACGGGAATTATATTACCCATCAAAGAGTGACAAACATGAGAGCAGTTTCCATTACTGACTGTGCACTGATCCACGAACTCACAACTCTGGCCATCTTCGGCCAATTTGGCATCTGGACGACAGGAGCAGAACCACGAACCGTGAGTGTTGTGGCAAAAATCTTGACATGGCCCATGTCCGTTCCTCAGCAAGCATTCATTGACGTCTGGAAGAGAAATTGAAGGTTACGGGATGTTGAAGTCATTATCCAGAGTTTAATTAAACTCACCCACGCAGGAGTTTCCCTCCAAGCGAAGACCTTTGGGACATTTGCATCTAAATGAGCCCGGAGTGTTGTGACATTCAAACTCACACGGAGATTCACTCTCCGTGCACTCATTGACGTCTGTCAGGGGTAAAAAAGAGCAGAAAATCAATGGGAAAAATCGGAAAGGCGAGTCATTGAGAATTTAAGAAGACATTGGCGTCATTTGGAACTTCGAGTATCACTGCAAACTGAAAGGATCTCCCGTGCAATTCGGTGTGAAGTTTTTTTTTCGCTAAATGGTAATCTTACTCTGTATTGATTGGCCCCTTGGAAAATCCGCTTAAATTGCAAATTCATGCTCACCCATGCAAATGCCATCGACCATCCTAAAACCGCGAAAGCACGAGCAAGTCTCGTTGCCATTATCGTCCACAAAGCAGAGTTGATCACACTCCTTCTGGTCGCAAGTCTTCTCCAGTTTCTTCACCAGAACCGTCGTCTCGATTCTGATGCATTTTGGCGTTTGTCCGATCCACGAGCGATGCCTGCAGAAAGTCCTGGTGCTGGAATTGCCGTCGAGGTGCATCTGAAAGCCTTCTCGACAGCGATATTGCGCCTCGAGGAAGGCATTTTCAGCTCCAAGAGCATCATTTCTGTGGAAAATTAACATGATATCATTGCACTCATTGATTATTCATAAGCCTTATTATAAATTTTGAGTTTTTCATGACTGGAAATTTACTGGAAATAAAGCCACTTGATGGATATTTCAAGTCAAGCAAATCTGATTAAGTGCTATTATGAAATTTGAGTTGGAATTTATCTTTTTGCCTCACGGAATTTCCGTGAATTTATCAAATTATGGTTGAGAATATAATTAGATTTCGAGCTGAGAAGGTGGCAAATGTTTTTTGGAAAAACAGACTTTAGGACATAGAGACTAATGCGATCATTTTTCTGCAATTGCATTGCAAAGAGTGTCTAAAGCATAAATCTTGGAGAATCCTAGAGAAATTTCCACAATGAACTTCTCAGAAATACGCTGAAGTTGCTGAAAATAATGATTTTCCTGCCAATGTGAGTGGAAATATCTGCAACATTCCTCACAAAACACACACACACACACACACACACACACACACACACATAATATCGTCGCCCCAAAATTTACAGGATTAAGTATAAGATATAGTTATTGTGTGTACTTTCTGCAAAATATTTTCACAACTACACAATTCCATCCCGGAAAAATTGCAGAGAGAAAGGAATGTTTAAAAGCATTTAAACTGTTTCATACTGAAGTGTTTTTATGGCATAGAAGCTTCGCACTGGATTTATTTCTTCTCCAAATGCAACATTAACCCAAAGATGGATTTATGAAGCGCACAGGAATTATAATAGTCTTGCTTGGTAGTAAATTGATTTCATGCCTTATGATGATTCCTATTAATTGCTCACGGATCTACAATGATGGATTAAGATTCTCCATGAAGTGATTATATTAAACCAGAGCAAATCCCGCTATTGTTTGCCGTCGTGCAGTTTCAATAGGATTCCCTTTCTCAATAGCGCAAATCGCATAGAAATCCGTATTATTCTGCATCCATCGCTAGGGGCGAGACTTGAAAATGCCCAGGTGAGGGATTTTCCACTGCACACACGATATATATATATATATATATATATATATATATATATATGGTATTTTCATTTCAATTCAAGATAATCTGCACTGTAGTTGCATAAAATCTTCTATGAAATCCATGTATTATCATCCCTTTGTGTGGGATTCTCAATTTCGCCAGAATAAGAAATCAAAGCTCATAACAATGTTCTCTCTTTCCAATCAAGTTTTGCCTTTCATATCAATTCCCCTTGTGTCAGTGGGAAATAAATTATACCACCCTGAGATATGATATTACAATCTCCGGATGATTTTATTCTTCTGGGATTGCTGAGGCGGTAGAAAAAATGGAACAAAACGATCAACGTCACCCCTGAGGACAATAACTGTGGAATTGCAGAGGATGAAAAAATAGGAGGGTTTTAGGAAATTTCCCTAAGAATGTGGATCGGGAAAATTCATTGTCGACTTTATGTTGTATCGTGAAAATTTTATAAGTGAAATAAGACTTGGCGTAGAAGTTATGAGTGTTATAACAATAGTAAAAACAACAACTGAAATGACTGGAATCTAACCAAAAACTAACCGAGATCTACGTGCTGAAATTTTTACTTCTAAATGCTATTAGCCTTAAATTAGTCACATAACCTAGAAAAATGTGTTAAAATTAGAACTTGGATAAAAATTATTTTTGAGAGTAAAATAATGAACAGAAAATTAAAGTTGTGAATCAAATATTGCATAAATTGCAACACTTCCACTTCTTTAAACTGCTACTGATCTGACCACCATTTCTGACCGTAATATCTCCCCCTTGGAGTGTGAAGGAAGATTTTAATCCATTAATAGTGTAGATAGAATTATATCAGTTGCGCGTTGAAGCATCTTGGTGAATATTGTGTCTTAGGAATCTGTTACTCACTTTATGTACTTCACATCGGCGTTATCCACTCTGGGCGCTGGCACAAAAGTCCGCCGCATGCACGATAAATCCCCACGAAGCCATTCCTCAGTGCCAGTCTCTGGGAGAGAGGAAGAGAGGGCAGAAATCCGGCCATGGGGTGAAAATGCCATGGAAATGGTAAAAGTCCTCTCACCTGTTGCTCGCAGTATTTTCTGCCGAATCTTTTCCGCTCGCAGTGCTTTCTTCTCCTCGCGAAGGCGCATCTTCTCCTCTCGGCGCCTCTGTCTGTCCTCCTGAAGTCTCTCGTGCTCCGCTACCTCTACCAGGTGGGCCTCCTCTCGCAGCCTCTCCATCTCCCGCTGCCTCTCCGTGGGCGCCAGCTTGCGGCGCTTCTTCACTCTGTGACGCCTCTTCTGGCCAAAGGACTTTCCAACTGCATTTACTGTGTCATCTCTGAAATTACAGCCCAACATTCCTGCAATATCTGCCCCAAATTCCCACCAGGCTGAGGATAAATTGAATTCTAGCTGAGGCAAGAGGGAAAAATGCAACATCACAAATTGCCTGCAAATTGACTCCGGCGAGGAAGTGCATTTTCGTCTATATACAATTCTGAGGGTGGGAAAATGGAGAAAATTCCACACAGAGGCAATAAAACAGGCGGAATTTAATAAACATCTTAGCGTGTAAGATACTAGAGGCTTTTCCACCTCCTCCATATCAATTTTCTTCAATTTTACAGCCTTCCGCGAATTCTGTGCTTACTTTGATGTACATGATCAATGTGGTGATTTCTGCCACTGAATCTAATCTACAGACGGAATTTCTGAATGAAATTCCAAACTACGGAGATTGCTGTCGAACCACAGAAATGCATCGCACACATTTGATGATTTATCGCACTACTGATTAATTAATATCCGTGCAAACCTCATCAAATTCCTCGATAAGTTATGCGTATTACTATCCATACATAGTTAAGAGGATGATGATGAAGGATGTTCTGGGGAAAATCTATATGAGTTTCTGAAAATCAATCGATAATCATTAAGCGGCGCATGAAGTGCTTTGTGCACAAAATGACGAAATTTATAAAGAATTTAATGTCCCTATCAGAGAACGTCTGCGCGTGTCTATCTATATGTAGTTGTAGCAAATTGCGTAAAGCATGAAATCTCAATGGAATAATTTCCACCGGACTGGCATACGGTAGTATAGTGCATACTTAATTGATTTACCATGAATACTGCAAATCTACTGTGTAGAGATAATTAGCATAATTATACAATTTCCCATTGTGCATTCTGTGCATATTTGACAGACGAATTGATCTATTTGTCATGCCAAATTCTCCGCAGAAACGCATAAAAGCATACCTCAAACTCGCCGGCATATCGCGCAAATCCTCCGATTCGTGTCTGGAAATGACGCTGAGGAAGTCGCCGCTATTCTCCAGTGTCTGAAGCTCATCCAACTGCCTCTCGCCGACGTCCACAAACTCTGCAATGACAAAAAGCGCCTTTTTTGTACTCAATTCCACTCGAGAAAACTTTCACGCGATTAACCGAGACAATTGAGGGATTAGTGTTGGCAGATACGTTAACACTACCACTTTTGTCTATTTTCCCGCTTGTCTCACGGGAAATCGATCGCAGAGAAGCTGGAGCATATACAGTGGTGGATTTTGAAATTATGCACTCAATATTTAACCCCTCTTTAATTTATGCCTCCTGATTGGCATTCCAATAAATTCGCTAATTCAATTCACTCGCCGTCAAAACGAACGAAGTGCCGGCGGAAATGAAATTACGGGAAAATTAGTGTTGACCTAATGGAAATATTCAAATTTATTTACACTGCACAGCATAAATGGATTAAACTCATTCCCATGTGCAATTATTAATAAACTTGCAAGTGATTTTTCCCCTGAACTTTACTTCGCAATATCAGTGCCAGATGGTGTCCAAAGAAGATCTTCCAATGACTTTCTTCCAGGCTCCTGGAAAAGGAATATTAGCTGCAAAATTGGCTGAGTTGTCTCAATATTTGCTGGGCAATTTCTGGGCTATGGAGAAAATCATGAAACAAAATGGGAGTTTGAGAGCTTTTCTTCTATCTCAGAGAGTTGGGGCGGATGAAACTTTTGCAAAAGTCACCCAACTTTTGATTCCTATGGCCGAAACTGCAGAAAATTTATCTCTTTTGCCCGAGAAATTCTCACCCATCGGCAAAAGACGACTTTCTCGGTAAATCACAGCGATGAGGCCACAATTGGAAAATTAATTTCAGCTCCATTGATCGATTTTCCTCGTGAATTGGCGCCTTCAGGCTCGTGTGAATCGGCAATGGTGAAAATTCACATATGAAAGTTCCTCTCAAATGCACTTTGGCGAATTAGATGTCAAATGATGCATACCTTTGACTGAGGCAAAGTTTTCTCATGGTTGAAAAAGAGAAGCTTTCAAAGTTTCTCGTATTGCCTTCTCCATAAGGATTTATTCACTTTCAATGGAGACCTTCCGCGAGATCCTTCGTAAGTAAATTCATTTCTCGGATGAAGGAATTTTCCTTACTGCACGGAAAGCTTTGATCTTTGGGCAAAAAGCTCAAAATTTCACCCTGCACACAACTCCTTGTTTGTGGGTAAATTCCGTTGAATATTTCACTGCAATAAATTTCAATACAACTCACTATTCTTAATAAATTTATAGCCTCTTCCTCGATCTCTATTTCGCAACTTTTCCCTCGAACTTTGTTAGAAATGCACTTGCAATGCGCTCCCAAAGTTTGTCAGAGGAGTTTTTGGGCATTTTTTTGCTTGCTAATGAAATTATGCGTTCACATTGCATAGTTGTAAATTTTAATGTCCCCCCAAAAGTGATTTTTTGCCACTGTGTCTGTCAATCAACGCGGAAAATGCATTTAACAAAACTGTATCTACATTATATTACCATGTTTTATATATACTGGCAACCAAAATACTAGCGATGCGCATTATAGAAAAAAATTGAAAAATTTACTTCCTCGTGTTGCATTTGCTATTAAACTTGAATGTAACTGTGCGCCACTATTTGTGATTCACTTTTTTCTCACGTAATAAAATATTTATGTTTCCCCTATGCAATACCGCTTCTCAGCATGCGATAAAATGCCCAGACCGGAGTTGATGATGTTTTGGCTGACGGCCATGTCCATTTTCCACCTCGTTTTCCCTCAAAAGCCCGCTGAGCTTTTGCCGCCGAGCTCCTGATTTCGCATAACAAATTAATATATATTGTTAAGAGGGGTTGGAAAGGGTGACAAGATAAAATATACAGCGCCCAGGCAACAGGAATGCCGGTTATATTCGACGTTTACACTAAAACCATTTAAATGGAGGCCCTTTTGAATCGTGATAAATCACCCACGGAGGATGTTGTGGCTTTTTTTTTTGCTGTTTGCAAAAAAGCGCGCGCCTCATTGGAAGCCTCCCCAGAATTTGTGGGGAATTTATGCCTTTTTTTCCTTTCCTCCCCCGGTATCTTCACCCTGAATGGAGCGCCCTTTCACCCTGGCGTCGCCCATTTTTCACACGAAAAATGGGAAAATGATAAAATGGGTCGTTTTTATCGCATATGGCGCTCCATTGGAGCATAAAATATCACTCAATTGAATAATATTCCACCGTGGAAGGCCTCCAGTGTACACATCCTGGTCGAGAATCATATCTTGGCGTGCGATTTCATCAGTGATTTACCGTGGCCTTCATGCTGACTTCCTCAATTCTCATCGCGAGTGGGCAAATTTCAATTTGCCCACGTATATCATCCAACAATAGAGCTTTCGCGCCACGGCATCTAATGAGAGAATCATGATTCCAGGGAATACTTTGGATTTTTACAGCATTGACTGATAATCTCTTCTCTGGCACGCTTAGAAAACCAGCGTGGGAAGGCGTGGATTCTGCAGCACTGTCACACCCGTCAATTAGTCAATGCTCCTCACATCCTGAAGACATTCATCATGGGCTGTTTTGAGAATGACACGAAGGGGTGGCCAAGGAAGCTGTGATATTTCATTTACAGCTCTGGAAAATGTGTCAGAGATTGAATGATTGTCTCAATAATGCAGCAGATGCGGAGTTCTTGCGCGAGACTCCACATATTTTTCCGATAAATATTAATTAGCCCATTTCCCACACACATTTTACTGGCTGGGCATGAGCTTAATTATTAAACTGATAATGGGACTCTCAATCTCACTTCAATTAATATTTCAAGTGACTCTATAGCGTGGGTGATTAATGAGTGGCAACCGAAAGCTCTCTCTCACAGTTTACAGTCGCGCTTTCTTTTTATGGCTCGCTGGGCCATAAAATAAAGCGAAATAGCATTTTGGTGGCAGACTTTTGAGTGGTATATTTCAATGGGAAAATTGCCAGCACGAATACCGGAAAAACCACGCGGAAAATTGTGATGGCAATATATTCATTAGGCAAAAGAATGGATATTAATGAGTGTCTCAATTTGCAGTGTTTCTAATCACAAACAAACACCATTCCAGAGACCGTCGGACAAAAAGGCAATTAGTATCTGATGGCCTCTCGTTATAGCTTTTCCCGTTCTGACATTGGAAAGTCAGTGGAAAATTCTCTCAGCATCAACGTCAACTTTCCCCACTTTCTCTCCGTCGTTCCTGAACACAGAGGGTGAAAATGCTACACAGAACCGACATGCAATTCACCAGCAAATGCAATTAACTGGCATTTTTTCTCACTCCCCAAAGAATCTTCTCACCCTCTTTGTCTCTGCGGGAAAACTCATTTTTCCCCGAGACTGTCGTGTCCCATCCGTCTCCTCCGGAGTGCGAGTGACAGACAATATGAGCATAGCGTGCCTGGATCTATGCGAGAAAATCCCATGGAAGACGGTTGAGGAATCTCCCAGGGAGACAAGACTCTCTCTATTTGAATCCCGAGCGGAAGTTTGTCCCGGAGTCCTTCACGAAATTGCATTTTAGCTACACACGCGACAATTGGCACAAGAGTTGCCAGAGCTTTTTCGGGTACCTCTCTGTAGTTTCCGGCGCATTTGGCAGGATATTTGAGGAAAAGCTCCTGAAGCGACATTTGTCATATATTGCAGATACTTTTCACTAGCGTTACATTGGAAATTTCCCACCAAAAATTATCAATTCACAGAGAAATTCATTTGCATTCCATGACCTACGGTTAATAACTAATATGGACAGAATATTCAATATTCACCCAACAATATGCGTGATTTTTCCGGTTATTTTTACGATATGAATTCATGCTGTTTTTCCGCTGCAATTTTCCGTTGCATAGGGAAATTTATACAGAATACCCAATGAGATCCGTGAAGTACTCCCGGACATTTTCAATTAGAATGCAAACTCTACAAGATTTAGAACGATACATTATACATACATTGCTTGGGCAGTATATTATCCATCAGACGGAAGGATTTATAAATGATTCCACTCACGTGATTAATCTGTTGCCAATGGAATGACCGCAGGAGGAATGTGAATGAATTTGCACGGAATATATGGTTGGATTTTCCAATGGGAAGAGCTCTTAAATTCCATCAGTAAAATTTATTTGTACAGCGCGTATGCGAAATACCTTTAAATTTGTTGATATTCAACCGAAATATTCCTTCCAGCACCTCCTTTCCAGGCCATTTTTCACCCCGCGCGCACACCAACAATAACATTGCTTCCCCTGGAGCTTTCTCGGGGGTAATTTAAATGATGCTCTATTTCATTTCGGAAGAACGATAAAAAATTGCACATGTTCTCACGAAAGGGGGTGTTTTTTTTGTAAAATTTTTGTCGGGAAATAAAGAGAAAGTCCAACACTTTGTATGGGAAATGGAATTTCCGAGGAATTTGTGAGCTTTCAGAGGAAGGAGAGATATTTATGGTGAGAAATTCAAAAGTTTAGAATGGAGGTGAAATTGGTATTTATTTAATCTTTGGATATTTTTCAGAGCTTTCGAGTTGATTCTTTGCTGCTTTTCTTGAGTTTTATGAGCAGGATTCATTCGAGGAAAAAAATATAAAAGAGCAATTAAAGGAAAGTTTATTCAACTAACAAGTAATTTGCTGACTCTCTCGCAGCTTCGGGCTCTTCTTCTTCAGGGCAGCCAGAAATGTTTTTGGGTAAAAATGGAAACACATGTTGTGAGAGGAAATTCTCTTGGTGATTTTTGCAAATTATCCCAAAGGACCATGACGAAAAAGGAGGAAAAAAATGAGGCACGAGGAGGAAAAGTTTTCATGTCACTTCCTCTCTTCGGGCCAAATGTGGACACAGAAGAAGGCGGAATGGTGGCAGAATAAATAAAATATGTGCTGGAAAATTTGTACGCTGGACAAGAAAAAAGGGAAAAGATGTTGTCATTGAGATAGAATCAATTAACAAAGGGGAGGAAATTTTTTTACACAACACTGATCAACTCTTTTGTATAGTGTGGAACTTCAGCAATGCTTTTTAG